GTTGACGTCCAAAGGTTTTCAGGTTTGCTTTACCTTCCCTGACAAGAAGCCTGACGCAGAGAAGAAGGCTGAAGCAGATGGCTTGGAACTTCCTGCAGAACTTGGCAGCGATGGGCAGGCTGCACCATCCACGCCCCCAAGGAATGGTGCAGCTTTGCATGCACAGGTTCTGGAGAGCGACCGGTTGACTCCTGCAAAGCCATTGCTCGTTGACCAGAAGATTGTGAACGGCCGGCGAAACTTTGGTGGCAAAGTGTGCCGGAAGGCCAGCTGTGAAGTTTGCGGTGTTCCCCGGGATGATTCGTTCCATGGGTGCCTTGGTTTGTGCAAAAATGGTCATGTCTGAATTTAGCTCCCAGTACTACTTTGTACTACAAAGCTTGCACAAACTACTTCCCAGTACTACTGTGTACTACAAAGCTTGCACAAACTACTTCCCAGTACTACTTTGCACTACAAAGCTTGCACAAACTACTTCCCAGTACTACTGTGTACTACAAAGCTTGCACAAACTACTTCCCAGTACTACTTTGCACTACAAAGCTTGCACAAACTACTTCCCAGTACTACTTTGTACTACATGGCTTGCACAAACTACTTCCCAGTACTACTGTGTACTACAAAGCTTGCACAAAGCACTTGCAACAATGCGAAGGTATGAATGCGACATGTCTCCGTTCTTGTCATGTTCCTTTTGTTTCCCTAGCATTTCCTTGTATGTTGTGTTCAAGTCTTTTCTGTCTGTACATTGTTCTTTTCATCAAGGTCAGCTAGACCCCCCGAAGAGGTCTGAAACCACTCTGAAACCGCTCTGAAACCACAGAAGTTCAACACGTGCAGAGCTACTTCCCAGTACTACTTCCCAGTACTACTGTGTACTACAAAGCTTGCACAAACCACTTCCCAGTACTACTGTGTACTACAAAGCTTGCACAAAGCACTTCCCAGTACTACTGTGTACCACAAAGCTTGCATAAAGCACTTCCCAGTACTACTGTGTACTACAAAGCTTGCACAAACCACTTCCCAGTACTACTGTGTACTACAAAGCTTGCACAAAGCACTTCCCAGTACTACTGTGTACCACAAAGCTTGCACAAAGCACTTCCCAGTACTACTGTGTACTACAAAGCTTGCACAAACCACTTCCCAGTACTACTTGTGTACTACAAAGCTTGCACAAAGCACTTCCCAGTAGTACTGTGTACTACAAAGCTTGCACAAGGCACTTCCCAGTACTACTGTGTACTACAAAGCTTGCACAAACCACTTCCCAGTACTACTGTGTACAACAAAGCTTGCACAAAGCACTTCCCAGTAGTACTGTGTACTACAAAGCTTGCACAAAGCACTTCCCAGTACTACTGTGTACTACAAAGCTTGCACAAAGCACTTCCCCCAGTACTACTTTGTACTACAAAGCTTGCACAAACTACTTCCCAGTACTACTGTGTACTACAAAGCTTGCACAAACTACTTCCCAGTACTACTTTGCACTGCAAAGCTTGCACAAACTACTTCCCAGTACTACTTTGTACTACATGGCTTGCACAAACTACTTCCCAGTACTACTGTGTACTACAAAGCTTGCACAAACTACTTCCCAGTACTACTTTGCACTACAAAGCTTGCACAAACCACTTCCCAGTACTATTTTGCACTACAAAGCTTGCACAAACTACTTCCCAGTACTACTTTGTACTACATGGCTTGCACAAACTACTTCCCAGTACTACTGTGTACTACAAAGCTTGCACGAACTACTTCCCAGTACTACTTTGCACTACAAAGCTTGCACAAACCACTTCCCAGTACTACTGTCTACTACAAAGCTTGCACAAAGCACTTGCAACAATGCGAAGGTATGAATGCGACATGTCTCCGTTCTTGTCATGTTCCTTTTGTTTCCCTAGCATTTCCTTGTATGTTGTGTTCAAGTCTTTTCTGTCTGTACATTGTTCTTTTCATCAAGGTCAGCTAGACCCCCCGAAGAGGTCTGAAACCACTCTGAAACCGCTCTGAAACCACAAAAGTTCAACACGTGCAGAGCTACTTCCCAGTACTACTTCCCAGTACTACTGTGTACTGCAAAGCTTGCACAAACCACTTCCCAGTACTACTGTGTACTACAAAGCTTGCACAAAGCACTTCCCAGTACTACTGTGTACTACAAAGCTTGCACAAAGCACTTCCCAGTACTACTGTGTACTACAAAGCTTGCACAAAGCACTTCCCAGTACTACTGTGTACTACAAAGCTTGCACAAAGCACTTCCCAGTACTACTGTGTACTACAAAGCTTGCACAAAGCACTTCCCAGTACTACTGTGTACTACAAAGCTTGCACAAACCACTTCCCAGTACTACTTTGTACTACAAAGCTTGCACTACTTCCACAGTACTACTGTGTACTACAAAGCTTGCACAAAGCACTTCCCACTACTGTGTACTACAAAGCTTGCACAAAGCTTCCCTACTTTGTACTACAAAGCTTGCACAAACTACTTCCCAGTACTACTGTGTACTACGAAGCTTGCACAAACTACTTCCCAGTACTACTTTGCACTACAAAGCTTGCACAAACTACTTCCCAGTACTACTTTGTACTACATGGCTTGCACAAACTACTTCCCAGTACTCCTGTGTACTACAAAGCTTGCGCAAACTACTTCCCAGTACTACTTTGCACTACAAAGCTTGCACAAACCACTTCCCAATACTACTGTGTACTACAAAGCTTGCACAAAGCACTTCCCAGTACTACTGTGTACCACAAAGCTTGCACAAAGCACTTCCCAGTACTACTGTGTACTACAAAGCTTGCACAAACCACTTCCCAGTACTTCTGTGTACTACAAAGCTTGCACAAAGCACTTCCCAGTACTACTGTGTACCACAAAGCTTGCACAAAGCACTTCCCAGTACTACTGTGTACTACAAAGCTTGCACAAACCACTTCCCAGTACGAAATACTAAGTGAATACTGAATATTTAACATTCAAAAACAAGTACGAGAATAATGATGAAAGGCAACTGAAATGATGAAAGTGATCCGGGAGTGTGGTCGCGCAAGAAACGCGCAAGGTTGGCGCAAGCTCGGCCCAAGAGGCCTTTGTGGGAACAGTAATTTAGGACAACCCCCATATATAGATATCTATAGATATATCATCTATAAACCATAGTTATTGGAGTTATAAACCAACTTAGCTATCTTGGGGGCACCATCCTGTGTCATATTTGCATTAATCTAATCCAATGAACTAAAGTCAATGAAAATTCATGATCGATGTGAAATTCCTCGGAGCCCTGGGGATCCCTGTAGCACATTATTCACTACATGGCCAATGTCGCACCTGAGGCGCTACATTCAGCATGTCAGCTCTCAGAACAGACGTTCATTAATGACTACCCCAAAAAAGTCATAAATTGAATTTTATGTGAGATTGATGGATTATTCACGTGATTTTACTAGAATTGAACTCATATCATCATGCTCAGATCTTTCAACTGTCATGATCAACATGATATGTTCATGAGATCCATCGATAAACCTGTTGTATCCAATCAATGATCCATCATGACCAAAAAACCTGCAGTTTTTCATCTCTGAATGCAGCGAGCAGCTGCAACATGTCGCTTTGACACCTTTTGTGGTGTTTCCGTTGAAGCTTCAGAAGGTGCCATCACCCCCCCAAGCCCATGCCAGCAGATATGCATTATACTATTGTATTATATGATATAATATATATATATATATAGTATATGTTATGTATATATATATATTAATATTATCATAGGGTGACTGGGAACGACTGGGATGGCTGATGATTGCGCCGGGCAGCACCAGAGATAGCAGCATTCATAGCTGGGGATTTCTGGGGATCTCATAGCGTGAATTAGCGTGAATTAGCGTGAAAACCATTTATGAATGTCATATATGAGACCATACATTGGGCCCAATGTCAGCTCTCAGAACAGACATTCATTTATGACTTTGGGGTTTGGCGTGAATTAGCGTGAATTAGCGTGAATTGATATCCTTATGCTTGAAATCGAGGCATTTGGCCGTAGGAAGGGGGTGCAAGCTGGGCTTAGCTGATCCCAATCTACCGCTGATGGCTTCATTGCCAGCTGATTCCCTTGAAGAGGATGCTCTGCTGGGTGTTTCTAGGCTGAAGCAGCCAGTAGATATTTGCATGGAAATTGCCACAGCTCTTTCAGGAAGTTGTAGACCACTGTTTCTGTCAGAAAACAGAAAACACTAGCAAATTGTTTCGATTGTCGTGTTTGAAGTTGTCAGCCTTCTGCACCATGCCTTCTTAGGCTATGAATGCTCTATCTGAGTCAACAGCAAGCGGATGAAATTTGTGCTTGCAGTATGAAGTGACCTGGTAAAGTGTTTCTGTACGTGTTTTTGTATGTATATATATATATGTGGCTTTAACAGTTTTTAATGAAGATGTTCCAAGGGGGCTGGATGAAAATGATCCTGTGTTCTGACTCTATTCATTTTTGTTGTGGCTATCCAAGTTACAGCAAATCAACATCTAGCCTACACTGTTCTGGCACAGAATCATCAACGTATGGGTTCCCTTCGATGGCCGTTCAAGCCGAAGCACCATGTGCCCTGGATTTGCTTTGAACTAGTGGCATCTTTCTTCTTTTCAGCTACCTGAAAGGGTGATTTTTTGAAGGGTCTTCTCTGGAATAATGACCTTCTTTGGGTCTTAAAACATCTCAGGCGTTCCAGGAGCTGGCCTAGTTCATGCGATGGGAGCGGTACAAGTGCCGTAAGTACCATTGCTTTGTGGATAAGGATTGCATAGGCTTTATAAAAGGGCTCTGTCGACGTGTACATCGAAGGATGCTGGAGTTGAGAGTCCTGGGCAGATGGATGATTCGCCTTGGTGCTTACCGGCGGAAGCCGAAAAGTGTGAAAAATGAAGATTTGGAATTGGGATTGGTGAGTTGTGAGAGGGGGGGAAACCCATAAATGGGCACCAGACAAAAGTCATAAATGAATGTCGTTTCTCAGGCTATACGCAGGGCAATGTAGCAAATATTTCTGACATCGTTGAATGTAAGGAATAATTTCAGACATTCGATCCACTGGGGAGGGTCACTCTTGTTTCTGTCTTTGGGCGAAAACATCGATCTTCAATGAACAGAAATCCAGTACACCCAAAAGTTCTTCATACCGACAAAAAATGGAGATGAGTATATAATGATTGGTGGTTTGGTATTATTTGGTATTTCTCACGTTCAAGCCCAATAGCCAGTCTTAGATGAATAATACATGGAACTGGAAATGACATTTCCAGTGAATTTTCTCATCGCTTCAGCAGCGTCGCTGAATATAAGGGCAAAATAATGTGTTTATCTATGTTTATTTGGTTTTAACTGATGTCGCCAACCATTTCGGCCACATATAGCTTCACTTGTGGCTGTCATTTGGGTTGACTGTAAATTATTGTAGATAATAACATTGCTCAACTGCTCAATGTCAACCTTATCACAGATGGCTGGGATTCGGGATCCCAAAAACGGTATCCGGTATCCAGTTTGGTGATCATGATGATTTCGATTCGAAGAGGAAATGGTCACACTACTCCCAATGTTTTGCAAAAAAAACCTGTGAATTTGCAATGTGGTGAAATACGTGGCATGCTTCAATTTGCTTTCATGGCGGTAGTGGTTTAAACCACTACGGGAACCCAAACCCATATACACAACCCATTTCATTCCCCTTAAGACTTGCAAATGCGTCCAGAATACGTGCTTGTAATTGTAATATATTGTAATTCATTATTGTGTTCAAGATTTGCATCGTTCTTGGGTGTACTGTACCCTCCGTAATCAAAAGTGGCAATGGCACATCCACCATTTACAGATGATTTTCTCAGCTAGAAATCTCCAAGGAAACGGGATTTCCAATTTCCATACAGGATCCATGTATGGTATATATATATATACTAACATTGGGGGTATATTGATGGTAAATGTTACCATATATAGCATACATGGATCCTATGGGATATGGCTCAAACATCTTGACCCCAACCAAATGCGTCACGGTAATGCCCTAAGCACGACCCGACGAATGGGTGGTCCAATCGAACTGGGAAAATCATGGAAAATCTCCGTTGTCGCCTGCAGGGTTGTCGGGCCCTTGGGGCTTTGAGACGTGCAGGCGCCCGGATGGGGTCAATCCATGTCAATCCCGCATTGTTGATAGACGTGGCACGGTCGATTTTAGGGGTTGGAAATCAAACGTGGTAGATGGGCAAATCCACTGTTTATAGATGATGCTCCCATCAAAACCATTTCAAGCCTTAATTTACATGGTATTTCTCAGCTTGCCATGTTTGATTACCTGAGGCTATGTCCCATGTTAGAGAAATTTGTGTTTAAAACATCACCTTCATCATTTCCCCCAATTGGAACATTTCACCAGCCCTTGTTTGCTTTCGCGAATTCGCGTCATGCTCAATGATGTTGGATGTTGACTGGATGCTACTTAGATCTTAGTTACCCTCTGGTAAACAAACATAGCTAATTATTGAAAATGGTGATTTATAGTGGATTTACCCATTAAATTTAATATGGTGATTTTCCATAGTTATGTTAGTTTACCAGAGGGTACATATTCGTTGTAAGTTGTTGATCCCATACATGTTACAGCCGCAGGTGCCTTTGCAGAGCCGACGCTTCCGTGGGAAGCGGAGCCTATGGAAGTTGCAGAGGATTTGGGGGTGATATTCCCAGGGTCTATGTTAGTTGGAGGGATGCTACTGGTTGGTGGTTTGGATTCATCTGAGATTGTGACTGATTGGTGGTGATGACCAATGGTAAATGGTGGTTCATGATGGTTCAACTATGGCAGTAACCATTTTTTTATAATCTGGTTGGTGGTTTGGAACATGAATTTTATGACTTTCCATAGATTCGGAATTGTCATCATCCCAACTTACGAAGTCATATTTTTCAGAGGGGTAGGTTGAAACCACCAACCAGGCTATGAGTTTGGCAAAAGATTTGGTGAAGTCTTCATAGAGATATGATCAGTCTGAATCTATTTCTTAGGATATCTTAAGAGGGAGATGAATAAGGATACCCTCTGGTAATTTAACATAGCTATTGAAAATGACCATTTATAGTGAGTTTTCCCATCAAAAATGGTGATTTTCCATAGCTACGTTAAATTACCAGAGGGTACCAAGTGGATAGAAATGACCAATGGGATATGTACCAACATGTAGCAACTTGAGGGCCAAACCTTGGTCGTAACGATCATAAATCGCGGTTGACCTCTGGCGAGTAGAGTTTAGCCAAGAAGCTATGGAAGTTGACCTTCAAATCGTGGGAAGTTGACCGCTGTAAATCATGGTAAATCTATCAAGTCGAGTTTGATGGGTAAACCAAGTGGTGAAGCTGTAAATCGGGATATTCGGTGAGTGAAACTATGAAACTATGAAACTAGCCGGATAATGCCGGATACAACCAAGATGAAATTAGGATGTTTGGGTACACCAACACATGAATGGTAGGTTCCCGTACAAAACTGATTCGTTGACTCTGGACTCTTGACCTTGGACTAAAAAGTGCGTGATTTGGACAAAGTTTGTTTTCAAAGAAATTGATGGATTCAATAAAATTTGTATGGAGGAGTGAGATATGATATCCACGAGTAACTTGTGATTATGTTGTTGAGCCTGTATCTAGACATAGTCATCCTTTGTAATGATTAGACCTGGCGTGATGCATGACGCAGGAGCAACCGGCACATTGAAGGCGTCCCTGTGGCTGATGCTGGATTGAGTGGCCATAGAAACCTTGATGTTTTGTGCCACTTTTGGAGATGATTAGGTGGGAAAACACCATATGTGCCATGGTCAAGTTGCTCGGATTGTATAGCCAGGTTGGGGGATGGTCATCGATCCATTTTCATAGGGATTGATTTATAGCCATTGCGGTTGATTCCCATGGTGGGATGGATGACCATAAGCCACATATGTATATATATATATATTCATACACACTATATATATATATACATAATATATATATATGCATAATATATATATACATATATACATTTACATAATGTATATATATATATACATACATATATACATATATACATACATATATACATATATACATATATACATACATACATATATACATATATACATATATACATATATACATATATACATACATATATACATATATACATATATACATATGTACATATATACATATATACATATATACATATATACATACATATATACATATATACATATATACATATGTACATATATACATATGTACATATATATATATTTACATATATACATATATACATACATATATACATATATACATATAAATATATATATACATACACGTATATCTTGACCATTGGACATTTATGTATCCCTTACATAAAAACTTGTTGAGGGGATGTTGCCAAACCACCAGAGATCTCGGCTTAAGCAGAACGGGAATGGCGGCAGTTTATGGAGGTTGCAACGCCGATCTCTTACAGCATGTTTTTTTTTTGCCTGACGAAGATCCTCCATTGATATCTATTTATACTTATTCAGATCAAAGTATCTACAGTACTTGTCAGATATTGCCCATGTTATTCCAATCTGAAGGCACTCACTCCATTTGATGCTGTCAGTTGGGCATCCAGGCACCCATATGTTTACCATGCAGACAGGAACCTGTGTTCCACCAATCAATGGATTGGTTTAAGGGAAAATTTACAGGAAACCATGGTTTTTACCATCAAATATGGGGGTTTCCTGTAAATTTTCCCATCATCCAATTCTATGAACCAAGCTGATGGCAAAGTCTCAATTTGATGAGCCGGAAGAGGAAGCTTCTGGATGAGGCAATCGGCTGGTTGCGGTTCTCGGTGTCGTCAAGATACTTTTCTCGTTATCCAATGGCCATGTTCCTTGTTGCTTCAACCCCCTCTGATATATTAGCACAGCACATATATCATATATATATATATCACACATATCATATATATATATGTCATATATATATATCACACATATCATATATATATATGTCATATTTATATATATATATGTCATATATATATTTATTTATTTATTTATTATGTATGGCCCGCTTGTTTGCTGATTTAACCACCCTTCAGAAAGCACTCGTTTGTAAATGAATCCAGGTCCAGGCCCAACCTCTTCATGAGCCAGAAATCTGGGTCTTCCTGGGTCTTCATTGACCCAGAGCCATTTGGTTGGTTGCATTCCCATTGTTTAATAACATGGTTGGTTGGTTGGTTCTACAAATTTGCTTGGTTGGTCACATTGTTTGTCGAAAATCACAAATTGTTCTTAAATCCACATGGCTGGTAAAGTCTGTTGTTGCTTTGACGGGTTCCCAAACTAGATCGTTTCATCTAAGTCTATGTACTGGAAATCATCCAGCCAAATCTATGGTCCAGTGATGATCACCATGTTGCAACTTGGAAGATATACCACTTGCACAACATACATGATAATCCATGCATAAAATGGTGCCGAACAGAATATAGATAGCAAATATATATATATATACATATGTATACATATATATGTATATATGTATACATATACATATATATGTATATTTAACTCATGCGTAAGATGGTATGCATATAACTAGCCAGTTGGACAACGTGGGAGTGTTCAGGTCCCAGACCCGGAGCGCGCCAAAGCGCGCGCGCTGCTCTGCGGCAGCTTCGGAAACGGAAACGCGCCGAGTCCGGGAACGAAGGCGCCAGCCGCAGAAGTGGTGGCTGGTGTGACCTTTGTGAATGGTTGGGCAAACATATGTTATTGGCCTGATTTAAGGAATACGTGGGTTAAATATAACATATAATGGGTTGAATGGAGATATAATGGGGACGTAATTGGGATAGTACCTTGTTGTAAGGATATTTAAGGGAACATGTACAGGAAATCAATGTTTTTCTAGTATGAAAATCAGGGCTTCCTTCGAACATTCCCTTTATGCATTTCTGGGGATATGAGCTGTGAATCAATGAGCATGGGTGATGTTTTACAAGGTAACCCAACTTTTAACTAATGCAAATAAGGGATGCCCTCTGGTAATTTAACATAGCTATTGAACATGGCCCATTTATAGTTTATTTACCTATTAGAAATGGTGATGTTCCATAGTTATGTTAGTTTACCGGAGGGATATCGTATGATGAATTATGGAGCCAACAATTATATTAGCAATATTTAACAATTAATTATCCAATGAACAGATTGTGAAAATGAAGCATCGTGGAGTAAGTCTAGTGGCTATGACTCAAGTCATTGGGGTCTCCATGGACCCACAGAATTGTTTTTTTGTTCGTTGAGCATCCATTGCTTGGACTTCATCATTAAGATGTTTGGCCCATACCCGAGTGAATCATTAACCAGTGAACATTTAGGGAATACATGTGACTAACCAGCTAAAAAGTAGATATATGTTGCTAAAACACTGAATTAGTGAGTGGTTTAGCTTTTGCCCGTTTGACGGAGGATTTTTTGATTACAATGTGGCTTGTTCTGGGTCTTTGAATTTAGGTACACTTGGTGTACATCACTTGGCGTATCAGTTCCACATAGTTGTGGCCCCCTCAAGTTTAATGTGAAACCAATATCAATGGCCATTTCAGGAACCTAAATTGGAAGTACCTACCATATATAAGGCCTATGTAAGTTCTATGTAAGGGGATATACCCACAAAATATGGCCTTATATGATACAGTACCTCCACTTTAGGATCCTGAAATTCCCATTGAACCAAAGACAGTTTCGATGTTGCTCGGATGCCGCCACTTTGGAGCCTGGTTGAATTCGTCATATGGGGGCATGAATCGTCGAGAGGTTAAAAAGGTGTTTTTGTTGTCCAGGATGTTGATTAGTGGACTTGGCACTTGGCTTATTTCGCTAAAGCCACCTTGATCAAGTCGCGTGAAATAGTGCATCATTTGTCCGCAACAAAGTATCGTTTTACAACCTGAAACTACTGCCAATGATTGACTGTTGTTCCACCTCAGCTTTTTCTCTTGAATCTTTCGGAGGACGAAATCATTGCGCGCCTTTCAGAAGAACTGGAACATTTGATCTTCCAGCAATCTGCAGCTTGGCAATCCATTGAAGCTGTCAAGGATGAGCCCAGCAATTTCTTGATGGTGACATGGAGGATTTATTGAAGTGGGTGTAATTGTAATTTCAGTAAAAATATTATAATATGTATATATATATACACATATTTTACCTATATGTGTATTATCTATAATTGCACATAACAATAGTTATAGGTTTAGGGGCTTAAAATCACATTGTTATACATATTTATCACCATTATGAACCGACTATTGATCCACTACTAACGCCTATTAATGCATATTAACCCATATTAAACCAATACTAACCCAGATGTTTTTGACCCATGGCCCCCCATCGGCACCCATGAACACACCTTCTAAGGCTTCGAGCCTTAGCGACTACCGCGCAGAGATGCGCAAAGTCGTGGCCTCCCTACGCCGCTGCGAAACGCTGCGGGCAAGGCGCGCCTTATGTGATGCGAGCGCGAGCGCTAAAAAAAGACAGCCCTGGTTGGTTGATGATGACGGTTACATATATACATATATACATACATATATACATATATACATATATACATACATACATATATACATATATACATATATACATATATACATATATACATACATATATACATATATACATACATACATACATATATACATATATACATATGTACATATGTACATATATACATATGTACATATATACATATTTACATATATACATATATACATACATATATACATATATACATATAAATATATATATATACATACACGTATATCTTGACCATTGGACATTTATGTATCCCTTACATGAAAACTTGTTGAGGGGATGTTGCCAAACCACCAGAGATCTCGGCTTAAGCAGAACGGGAATGGCGGCAGTTTGTGGAGGTTGCAACGCCGATCTCTTACAGCATGTTTTTTTTTTGCCTGACGAAGATCCTCCATTGATATCTATTTATACTTATTCAGATCAAAGTATCTACAGTACTTGTCAGATATTGCCCATGTTATTCCAATCTGAAGGCACTCACTCCATTTGATGCTGTCAGTTGGGCATCCAGGCACCCATATGTTTACCATGCAGACAGGAACCTGTGTTCCACCAATCAATGGATTGGTTTAAGGGAAAATTTACAGGAAACCATGGTTTTTACCATCAAATATGGGGGTTTCCTGTAAATTTTCCCATCATCCAATTCTATGAACCAAGCTGATGGCAAAGTCTCAATTTGATGAGCCGGAAGAGGAAGCTTCTGGATGAGGCAATCGGCTGGTTGCGGTTCTCGGTGTCGTCAAGATACTTTTCTCGTTATCCAATGGCCATGTTCCTTGTTGCTTCAACCCCCTCTGATATATTAGCACAGCACATATATCATATATATATATATCACACATATCATATATATATATGTCATATATATATATCACACATATCATATATATATATGTCATATTTATATATATATATGTCATATATATATTTATTTATTTATTTATTATGTATGGCCCGCTTGTTTGCTGATTTAACCACCCTTCAGAAAGCACTCGTTTGTAAATGAATCCAGGTCCAGGCCCAACCTCTTCATGAGCCAGAAATCTGGGTCTTCCTGGGTCTTCATTGACCCAGAGCCATTTGGTTGGTTGCATTCCCATTGTTTAATAACATGGTTGGTTGGTTGGTTCTACAAATTTGCTTGGTTGGTCACATTGTTTGTCGAAAATCACAAATTGTTCTTAAATCCACATGGCTGGTAAAGTCTGTTGTTGCTTTGACGGGTTCCCAAACTAGATCGTTTCATCTAAGTCTATGTACTGGAAATCATCCAGCCAAATCTATGGTCCAGTGATGATCACCATGTTGCAACTTGGAAGATATACCACTTGCACAACATACATGATAATCCATGCATAAAATGGTGCCGAACAGAATATAGATAGCAAATATATATATATATACATATGTATACATATATATGTATATATGTATACATATACATATATATGTATATTTAACTCATGCGTAAGATGGTATGCATATAACTAGCCAGTTGGACAACGTGGGAGTGTTCAGGTCCCAGACCCGGAGCGCGCCAAAGCGCGCGCGCTGCTCTGCGGCAGCTTCGGAAACGGAAACGCGCCGAGTCCGGGAACGAAGGCGCCAGCCGCAGAAGTGGTGGCTGGTGTGACCTTTGTGAATGGTTGGGCAAACATATGTTATTGGCCTGATTTAAGGAATACGTGGGTTAAATATAACATATAATGGGTTGAATGGAGATATAATGGGGACGTAATTGGGATAGTACCTTGTTGTAAGGATATTTAAGGGAACATGTACAGGAAATCAATGTTTTTCTAGTATGAAAATCAGGGCTTCCTTCGAACATTCCCTTTATGCATTTCTGGGGATATGAGCTGTGAATCAATGAGCATGGGTGATGTTTTACAAGGTAACCCAACTTTTAACTAATGCAAATAAGGGATGCCCTCTGGTAATTTAACATAGCTATTGAACATGGCCCATTTATAGTTTATTTACCTATTAGAAATGGTGATGTTCCATAGTTATGTTAGTTTACCGGAGGGATATCGTATGATGAATTATGGAGCCAATAATTATTTTAGCAATATTTAACAATTAATTATCCAATGAACAGATTGTGAAAATGAAGCATCGTGGAGTAAGTCTAGTGGCTATGACTCAAGTCATTGGGGTCTCCATGGACCCACAGAATTGTTTTTTTGTTCGTTGAGCATCCATTGCTTGGACTTCATCATTAAGATGTTTGGCCCATACCCGAGTGAATCATTAACCAGTGAACATTTAGGGAATACATGTGACTAACCAGCTAAAAAGTAGATATATGTTGCTAAAACACTGAATTAGTGAGTGGTTTAGCTTTTGCCCGTTTGACGGAGGATTTTTTGATTACAATGTGGCTTGTTCTGGGTCTTTGAATTTAGGTACACTTGGTGTACATCACTTGGCGTATCAGTTCCACATAGTTGTGGCCCCCTCAAGTTTAATGTGAAACCAATATCAATGGCCATTTCAGGAACCTAAATTGGAAGTACCTACCATATATAAGGCCTATGTAAGTTCTATGTAAGGGGATATACCCACAAAATATGGCCTTATATGATACAGTACCTCCACTTTAGGATCCTGAAATTCCCATTGAACCAAAGACAGTTTCGATGTTGCTCGGATGCCGCCACTTTGGAGCCTGGTTGAATTCGTCATATGGGGGCATGAATCGTCGAGAGGTTAAAAAGGTGTTTTTGTTGTCCAGGATGTTGATTAGTGGACTTGGCACTTGGCTTATTTCGCTAAAGCCACCTTGATCAAGTCGCGTGAAATAGTGCATCATTTGTCCGCAACAAAGTATCGTTTTACAACCTGAAACTACTGCCAATGATTGACTGTTGTTCCACCTCAGCTTTTTCTCTTGAATCTTTCGGAGGACGAAATCATTGCGCGCCTTTCAGAAGAACTGGAACATTTGATCTTCCAGCAATCTGCAGCTTGGCAATCCATTGAAGCTGTCAAGGATGAGCCCAGCAATTTCTTGATGGTGACATGGAGGATTTATTGAAGTGGGTGTAATTGTAATTTCAGTAAAAATATTATAATATGTATATATATATATATACACATATTTTACCTATATGTGTATTATCTATAATTGCACATAACAATAGTTATAGGTTTAGGGGCTTAAAATCACATTGTTATACATATTTATCACCATTATGAACCGACTATTGACCCACTACTAACGCCTATTAATGCATATTAACCCATATTAAACCAATACTAACCCAGATGTTTTTGACCCATGGCCCCCCATCGGCACCCATGAACACACCTTCTAAGGCTTCGAGCCTTAGCGACTACCGCGCAGAGATGCGCAAAGTCGTGGCCTCCCTACGCCGCTGCGAAACGCTGCGGGCAAGGCGCGCCTTATGTGATGCGAGCGCGAGCGCTAAAAAAAGACAGCCCTGGTTGGTTGATGATGACGGTTACATATGGTTTGTCTATGGTTTATATATGGCATGTTTTTTTAGTGTATGTTCTGTATACATATATATATATATATGGTTTAAGATGTATTAAGAATAGTTAAGATATTAAGAATAATGATTGATAATGATAATAAGAATTATGTTGATGATGATGATGTTGATGATGATGATGATGTTGATGATGATGATGATGATGTTGATGATGATGATGTTGATGATGATGATGATGTATCATGATGATGGTTATATATGGATTTATATATGGTTCTATGTATGGTTATATATATATGGTTATATATCTATATATATTTAGATACATATATATATATATATGTTATATACATATATATATGGTTATATATATATGGTTATATATATAGTTATATATATATGGTTATATATATATATATGGTTAGATATGGTTCTATGTGGTTATATGGTTATATATTGTTTACATAGTTTACATATGGTTTGTTTATATCCAGTTATTGTTTACATATGGTAATTCAGCCAGAGAGTCAAAGTTTAATGATTTAATGGGAATTTAAGCATCATTTATAGCAACCCCCCAAAAAGATAGAAACATACTTCCAGGATGGTACTTCAAAGATGTTTTCCACATATTTTCCAACGTTTGCATCTCTTTTGGGATTTGTGTGGTTGATATCTAGGGTGTTTGGCAATCCAGGATATATGGGGGTTGATAAATGCTGGCTGGTTCAAGATTATATGGGTGTTAAATGTGGACTGAAGCATCAAGCAAAAAAATCCTATTACATGCATTTGCTTGTATATATAAACACATCCCTTGCAACAAAAACATTCGCCTCCAGATGCAGGGTTTCATTCTACTGGTTGGTGGGGATGGTCATAATGGGTAGATAATCCCAATGTATTGGGTAGTACAACCCCATATAATAATCGACCTAGACATACCTAGACCATTATTTATCAACAATGCCGTCTTTCAAACCTCATCATTCAGAAAAACAAACACATTTAGCCGTCAAACATGGTAAAATCAATAGGATCTAACCATCCCAAAATAGACATGAATAATGGGCATGGGGGATTATGCAAACATGTGGTATACCTTAGAATGGTAATTGTAATGCGGAAAACAATGATCAACCCCTGAACTCTTGCGCCTTTAGCAGGAAAGGTGCACCTTTGTAGGCAGAGCGGCCTACAAAAAAATTGGATTGATCAAATCTGGTTTAAGAGGTGATGTTTTGTTATGTTTTGGACTGGGCTGAAACCACCAAGCAATTGATCCATGCTGATTACCACTTACATGTTGTGGTTTACGCCAGATATATTGAGAAAAGTAGTTCATTTGTTCGGAGTTCTTGCCTCGCGCACGTTCCTTTTCACCAGTTTCTTTGTACTCATCATGCGTTTGTGTTCCAGAGACTGGGACGCCGCAGTCATTGGAGGTGATGACTTGGCTACATGCCAGCGCGTCTTCCAGGTACCTGCACCGACGGATGGCTCCTTCCAATTCCACAGCACGCTCCCTTGCCCCATTGGGAGCATCACTCACTCTATCGGCCCCATCACACGCGCCATCGCACAACCACTTCCCATCCCACCTCTCATCTTTCCACACGTCGTGAAGCTCCCCAGAAAGACAATGGACAGAAGATTTTATCCTCGTGATGACGTGGCAATGAAAGAGATATAATATGTGCAGCAGTCAGTGTACGAACAATTGCGAACGCTCATTCAGCGACAGCAGCTGTATGATGGTCTTCATATTTTCCTAGGTCCGATCCCAGATGACGATCCCAAATGACTATAGTATCTTTGAGGGGTGAAGCTAGGAATCAGATGTGTTCGATTTGGGTTCTGGGAGGGGTCTCCAGCCTTGCATTGTGAACAGGAAAATTGGTATTTTTCAAAATGGGTGGGCTACACACATGCGTTTCAAAGCCAAAGTAGGCCAATTTTGGATGATATGGGGGGTCCCTCCTTTTCAGGAAACATGCATGTTTTTGGATTGTGCTGTTTTCAGGAAGGGGCATTCTTTTTTTTTGCCATCGCATATTATTATATAATCTAGGTGAAAGGCAAATTGGGTTGTCGTCCCTTCTAGGATGCTAAGGTGTACTGAAAATTAAGATGGAACCCTATGAAGATCATGATCATGTTGATAGGCACAACTGGTTATACCTGGCACGTAGAGAATGCGGAAGAACGTCATGTACAGTAGCCCAATACAAAACATATTCCTCAAAGTTTGTCTCAAGGTTTGTACACTATTGTTGACCCGTGCTAATTGACGGGCCGGGGTCATTACCAATATTCATTAATCATCCAATCAAAATGAGCGATTTGTGAAAAATAGTAATTGGTCATATATTATTCGAGGCAATCACCATCGCATTGATGTTAGCAAAGCTATAGTAAACCATCGCCATTTTTATCATAAATGGCTTGTATAAACCATCAATCCATAAGTTTATGACATTGTTTTTACTAACATGTGCCTTCTGGTGATTTGACATAGCTATGGAAAATCTTCATTGTTTCATGATGAACATGATGATTTACGAAAAATAAAATGATGTTTCCATAAATCACTGTGGTTTTCCATGGCCAAATGCGCTTCTACTAACATTACGCGCTGACACCATTGTTTGCCCAAGATTTTACAAGACGTTGATGTATCTTAACATTCATATCATGACTTGTTGCTCAGCATAACATGATCATAAATCTTCCATCCACATCATACCATAAGAATTCCAAAATGAAAGAATTGTTATGCTATAATTCCATAAACATCCATATCAACAATGATTCCATAAACATTCCATAAATTCTTGGGGTATTATAGATGACAATGCCATCATTTTCCCGGGGGAAATCATGGTGCTTTCCCGGGGTTTCTCGGTTTCGATCTCTGCACCAGGCTGGTGCAGGGCGAGGTGAAGGCGAGTCACCTCTTGGCGGAGCCGCAGATGCTGCTGACCGAGGAGCAGCGCTTTCTGCGTGCCAAAGTGCGCCAGGACGGGGCCGGGGGCGCCATGGGCGCGTTCTGTGGTGGTGGATGGCACGAAAAAACTTTTTGTAAATGGGATGAAATAATGAAAATGTAACTCAGGTGAAAAATAGCTCTTGAATGACTTGAATGAGGTTATAAGCCAGGTACAACTGTTGAGGGCTATATGGCTGTATCTACTATCTACCAGCCTAGAGTTACTAGGTTCTTGCGGGCTATTAGGAGTTGAGAAACATCTAGGAAGCATTGCAGATATATTATCGTCATTTATCAAGAGATGCAGCAAGGAGATGGAAAAACCCCTGGGAATTTTCAGATGACAAAAACATCTGGGATTTTGGAGATGACAAAGGTTCCAAGATGTTTGTTTTGGGGTCGCTATTCCCCTTGGGTAATCTAAGATGGCCACTGACAATCCGGCAAAGCACACGCCCATTTTGGGTGGCGTTTCGTCAGCCAAACATGGTGGAGTGGCCATAAGTTATAAGTTATGTATGCTATATCTCAAATAGCACAAGCACTATATCCCTATTAAAGTTGGTTTTACTCACAATGATGATATTCCTCCGGTGAGGTTCCAGAAATTGTCCTCGCAGATGATTCGTCCACTGTCCCTTGAGGAGTCTTTAGAGCGCTGCTTGAAGACCAGCTTCGGGAAACTAGGCTGCGGATGGACAGCTTGAGCGTCAAGTCGGGTGTTCGTTCTGGCGAAAAGCCATCGGCAAAGCCCCCCAAATTGCAAGAAATCTGATGCATTTCTGGTATCGACCAGTGAATTTTGAGTATACTCTGATGTGTTTCGCAGTCCCAGCTCTAGTCTATCTATATATATATATAGATAGATGGATAGATAGATGGATAGATATAGATAGATATAGATAGATATAGATAGATATAGATAGATATAGATAGATATAGATAGATATAGATAGATATAGATAGATATAGATAGATATGGATAGATATGGATAGATATGGATAGATATGGATAGATATGGATAGATATGGATAGATATGGATAGATATGGATAGATATGGATAGATATGGATAGATATGGATAGATGGATGATATCGGAATGACGATCTTAGTTGATGTCCAGCACCTGTGGGGAATCCACCCCGCCCTGGAATTTGTCATGCTTCAATGTTAAGTGATATGAAAATCGTGCTTTACATTGCTTTGGCATATATACTCAACAATAGTAGCACATGTAACGCACAATTTAATATATGGTAAAATCTATGAATACTATGGCAGACTACAATGTACATACGTATATAATTGTGTATATATATAGTGTAGTCTACCAGAGTATTTTATGATATAGTTTACCATATAATTATACTCAACAATCATCCATGCGCAATTTTCGCAAAGGTTTGCCAAAGTCTACCACGTTTATGCCTGGTTTGATCGTAATATGCCCTCATTTGAGGTCCATCATTATTCGTTCCTCTACCGAGCTAGCACAATTTGAACATATTGTTTGTCCCAATTTTGAACACTGACAAGCCAAGATGAAGATTCCACCAATATCCAACATGCTTTGTATATATTCTAGTTGTATTTATAATTAAGTATTTACAGAGGTATAATTATAATATAGAAATGTTTGCATATTTGATCTACAATCTGACCTGGATCTTTGAGTTCCGCCACGACCTTGGAAAGGCTATTTCCTCCTGGGTATCGATTGTGATGGCTCCAACTGCTCCATCACTTGCGAGAGACGACATTTGGAATCTCGTGACCCTCGGCGGGTGCATTTCAACTGAGTCATCTCGGATGCCATGGCTGGATAGTCATGAATAGTCGACTAGAAGAAGTCCCCAGTCGTCAAGTCCATCACACTAGGCCGTAGCTTTTCGAAAGGATCCCGGATATCCATGGATATCCTGGTTCATCTAACCTGGCTTTTTGAGTCACCAATTCAATCCGGTTTATATCCTTTCATAGATCCCAGATGCTCCATGGTGCGGGAATATTGATCTACATTTACCCCAAAAATTGCACAGTCATGCAGGTAAATATATGTAAATATTCCCGCACCATGGAGCATCTGGGGATGATGTTCCAAACGTATTTTGCACAAAAAACTGTTTGTTACCCGTTGCCCGTTGAGTTTGCGAGAGGATACCACCAAGGAGCAGATGCGAGGCAGGTGGCCACAGCTGGAGAAGAATCACGTGGCGACTGGGCGGGCGTCGTGTCAGCTGTCTGAAATTGGGGTACCCCCAAATTTCATACTTTATCAGATTTATCAGATTTACCCTCTGGTAATTTAACAGCTATTAAAAATGGTGATTTATCGTGAGTTGTTCCATTAAAAAGTGTGATTTTCCATAGTTATGTTAAATTACCAGAGGGTATCCATTACTTTCATCATGAAAATGGCCAAATTTTGAGTCCCCTTTTTTCCGCCACTTAAGTGTTGTGATCCAACTCCCGTTTGTGACATCGCGATTTCTCGTTCAGCACTTCTGCCGAATGGGCCATGTGTGGGGGGTGCCAGTGAATCTCGTAGTCAATCGTCAAGACATATAACAAATATTTAAAAATAATGCCAAAAGCAAAAATCATATTATGAACCATACTATGAATAAGTGTCCCATATTATGAATACATGGCCATATTATGGGACATGTATTCTCCGAATAATTATGGATGAATCTCCCATGTATTCTCATTTGTCACAGCCAGATGCTCTTTTTATCCTCCGATCTTCGCAGAGAGCCAAGGTAATCTGTGCGGGTCCGGAGCGATCGGGGAGCACCTGGCTCTACAATGCCATACGGCTCTTGCACCTGAAAGCCAAGGCACCAAGTGGCGGCAAGTCCGAAATTGCACCTGGTTTGTCGGAAGTGACTATGGTATACTATGGTCCTATATGGTATGCTATGGTTAAGCCATGGCCGCTTTAGGTCCCTGATAGGTCCATGCTGTAACCATTCTATGGCGAACGAACTGCGAAATCACCAGAGGCTAGCCCAAGTTATGGCTGTCCACGGGCGAGCAATGAATGTTTCAAAACATGAGATGTTGGTGTAACCCGATGTGAGACAAATGCAACTCTTGTAGGTGTCAATAGGTCAATAGGCATCTTTTCGGGATGCCCAAGGCAAATTGACAGTAAACATCAATAAACCATGGGGACCATTGTCATGTTTTTTATTTCCAGGTATAGGGGGTTCCTGCATTTGTTTCCTCCAACCAGTTCGCTGTTGTTGCCGCATTGATTGTTGTTGTCGTCACGGGTGTTGCCAGTATTGGGACACATTTGAAAACCTATTTAAAATAGAAAAAATACATGACATTAATGACCGTCGTGATGGTCGTTGTTGCTGTCATGCTGATCATGTTCGTCGTCGCTGGGGATACAAATCACATCGACGCCACCAAGCATCGAATGAGGCCGAGTCATGATCAAAATTGCCAGTTGCGACAGCACATCAAACGATGTTCCATTCCACTCGCCATTGAAAGTTGCTTTCCAGGCCAACCTCAATCATTTTCACTCTGGCGCTCAATCCCCTCTCACACATTCCACTCATGTTTTTTTGTTAACAGTTTAACACTCCATTTGTCCTTTTGCTTTTTAACTTCTCAAGACTCAGAACTCCCCAAAGGCTGGGAGCTTTCTTGGATCATCCTCCAATTGCTCCCAGCCTTCCTTCCCTTCGCGCGGGCAGGTGCCTTGCGATTCGTATTGGCTCAGCCGCTTGAGTCGTGAGAATTTGGAGGAGCGGCTGAGAGCCAAGCCTGCGGCGGCACCGTGGCTGAGATGGTGGCCCCAATGATAGCCATTGAATGGAAAATACCCTCTGGTAAACTAACGTAACTATGGAAAGATCCACCATTTTTAATGGGAAAACTCACTATAAATGGCCCATTTTCAATAGCTGAATGGTGAGAATGAAGATTGACTGGGAGTACACTATCCAAACAAGCACGCAAATACTGTAATGGGGGAGTTGATGGGATGTGTGTATGATATTGGATGGCGGGAATTTCATTGAAAATGGTGTTCTCTACCCGTGGGTAATTTGTTACATTGCTATTGAACATGGCCCATCATAGATGATTTACCAAGCATGATGATTTTCTATAGCATTCTATAGCTATGTTGCAGTACCAGGCGGTATTTGGATCCATAGAACTTGGAAAAAAACTTCTGTAGGGAACAGGAACCAAACATTTATATACCCATAGGATCCATGTATGCTATATATGGGAACATTTACCATCAATATACCCCCAATGTTAGCATACATACCATACATGGATCCTATGGGATAAATCTGATCGTTTTGGTGTTGAAGATAGACCGAGTCATGGCGATGGGATTTCAATATTTGACGTGTAGAATATCACCAGCATTAACCAGCAATATGAGTGAGTATGTCTGAAGCAGGGGAATTAAGCCCCAATATGTGAACAGTTTAATGAGAACAATATGATTAACCATGAAAATTTAGGCTACCCTGTTTTCAGACGAACCCATTCAATAATGTTGTATAGGGGCTAAACCTAATGTCAACCCTGGGGATGAATCAAACCTGACTATTCATATAGTATTCATTGGTACACACTGGGGGTTAGTGCTGATCCTGGGTCAGCACTCTGGAGCCACAAAAACACATAAGTTACCAATATGGGATGCGTTTCATGTATGCCAGATTATAATAATGCCATGTGTATAATATAACTAAACAGTTTATTGTCAGTTCAACATGGAACCTCAGCGTCAGCCAAGTAGTAGGAGTGTACAAGAACCCTTGGTTCACTGAGAGGGTGAGGTACCAATTTCAATGGTAAGTTGTCCTCGAAAATCCCCATGGGTTCCCAGTCCTCCTAGGTGGTCTTGGTGAAAACCCATGAGTGACTCGGAGTGAAAAAAACCCATGGCGACTTTCTCCAAGGATTGGAGAAGGATATCCCCAAAACCGGGCAATTGCAGTCGGAGATCATTGGGAAATCATTGGGATATCCATATCTAGACCAACCATAGGATATTTTTTTTGTGTGTCTCAAAATGATTACCCTCTGGTAATTTAACGTAGCTATTGAAAATGGCCATTTATAGTGAGTTTTCACATTAAAAATGGTGGTTTTCAATAGCTATGTTAGTTTACCAGAGGGTAGTCTATAGAGCGACTTAGTTATGACCCATTTAGGGAAGGTGATGATCGACCACTGGGATCAGTTGGGATTGCTTCCTAAATCAGAAACCACCAAGTGGTTCTGCCGAAAGATGCAAAGGCAGCTCTAAAATTGGTGAAGCCCTCAGTAGTTTAGTCCCAAACATGGCTAGATATGTCACCTCGGGTAGCATTTTGCATCATTTTGCAGCCTTCCAGGTGGTGCTGGAACCATTGCAGAAATGGAAAGATCACAGCAGCATTTCGACATGTTGGTTCTAACTACCATCCATGACGTTGGTTCTAACTACCATCCATGCAAGCAATATCCAATACACTCTGGTTATGTCAAAATAGCTATTTGAAAATGGTGATTTATAGTGGATTTACCCATTGAAAATGGTGATTTTCCACAGTTATGTTGGTTTACCAGAGGGTAAAGCCTTCAAAGACTGACAAAGAATGGCACTCTGAGTTGCTCGGACACATTCTGTGTTCTCTTATTTTTTGTGCATTAGAATTGGGATTTCAAACATTCAAACAACTCTGACTCAGTATGTTTGAGAGTTGAGTACAACAAGAACCATGCTCCATGATAAAGCTGGAAAAACTGACAGAACCTTTGAGCGGCATAGCCCCAAAATCTTGACATGTGCCTATGCCAATCTTTTCTGTCCCTTTGCAACTTATGATGGTTCAAGTTCCATGGCATCAGGTGCTAGGTCGATAACCTCAACCACCGACCTGGTACAGGTCGAAGTTTGGAAATCTTGGCTTACCATTACTGGGGCCCAGCACGATTCGGCTGTAGGTGGTTTGACCACTACCCAGACTTCATCCACATGGCGAAGCACGTCTTCCTCACACATCGCGACCTGCGAGGTTGGCGAATTGTCCAGTCATGTGGATTGAGACAGCTAAAAGTGGGGATGTTTACCAAGGGATCCAAGGGTAACATCACGGGATAGAAGATTTCAGCAACTGTAGAAAAAGAGGTAATCTGGGTGGGGATACCCAATTTCCCCAGTTAATGGCCATGTTAATGATGGAGCGTGACGATGAACCACGGGCTTTGGCGTATCCGCACCCCAGTGTTGGGTGCCGGAGAACCATTAATCCCAAAGTTGGTTGGAGTTTTTTTTTGCTTAGCTTATTCCCTATGTTGTGCTGTTTACATCCCCATGTTTCATTCTTAGTTGGAGTAGATCCATTTTGCTGTCCGACCCCGCAAAAAAAAAGCACATCAAATTAGGCTTGGACCTTTGGGGTAGTCATGTTGTTTGGCATAATGGTTTGCTTGGCTACACTGCTTAATATCATATCATAACATGACATATCATATTATGTATGTGTCCAATGTAAAGTGCTGCAATGTAACGCAGTGGAACGTGTGTATGCATAATATGTGTAGACATGTCATGAATTTTAGGACATGTCATGAATTTTAGATGTACGCATATGCACTATATGTATATATATATACTGTATGTATATATATATATATATATATTATATTTCGTCATAAAGATCAATTAGAGTTGCTCCCAGCGTCATGTTTTTGTCGCCACAAAGGAAGTGACAGGTTGGTTTATGTTCACCCTCTCAAAGGTAGATTAATCTTGTCATAAATCGAGCAATTATCATAGCTACATGCATCATAAACCTATCATAGATCCACTGTCAATCTCCATGTTGTGGTTTTATATATATACATCACTGTTTTCTGCGGCGAAATCTAATTTTTGGTTCTCTCTTCAGAAACCTAAAATATCGTTGTTTGTGATTAGGACAGAATTTCTCTTAAATCCATCCATTGATTGTGAAATTTGCTGTTTTAGTCACCAATTCGGATTCTGCTGGTAAATCCTCAATGTTCATGGTGAAATGTTCAGAGAAATTCTGCTTAACTCTTCATGTTTCTTTCTGAACTCCCCATTTTTCTAGCTCAAAACCCTATTTTTTCCTGATGAAATTGCCATGTCTCCTCCTTGTTGCGGGTCACAAAAAAGGCCCCTTGAACTCCAGGCGTGGTCGCCTCGTACCGCCGGGTGAAGTGGGGGCTGGCCATCCCTGACGCCTACGTGGCTGAGCATTGGGAGCCTCGTGGCTGGATCCATTTACCAATGTGGGGCCCCCCCAGTGATGTTTGTTGGTTTATAAACCCCATGAAAACTATAGTTATAGGTACCATAAACCAGTTCGTGAAATTGGAGTTATGTTCACCAACTTAGCTATCGTTTGGGGGCCCCACTTTGTACATGACTGTGCCATTTTTGGGGTACATGTAGGTAAATATTCCTGCATGGAGCATCTGGGTATGGTTGGGAGGATGTTTCATATTGGGGAATGGATTAGAATGGGATGTGACTAGTGGATCATCAATGAATGGCCATTCAACAATTGGCGATTCAATGAGGAATGTATCGGATTGGTTGTTCCTATATATGGATATTTTTGGCATGATTTCACCGGCCAGAAATCGGAAAATCCTAGGAAAATCACGAGAAAAGTGAAGTAGGTCTTGAAAACAAAGTTGCCTTCTTAGTAAAATGTGCACAATTCCTGTCAAACATATTGTTTAAATATGTTTAAATATGTTTAACATCTATGGAATGAATTGAGCAGCTCGCATGGCTTCAGACAGGCTTGGCTCCATGTGGGCATGATGAGAGTAGGCCCCACAGTAGTCTCCAGCTTTGATCAGGCCATTGATCTTCAAATCCCTGATGTTGATGTTTCCTGTTGCTCATCTTTGGGGATTAACATCAACATTGAGAATATGTTATATACCATTATATACCTTCAACATATGTGGTTAACATTAAATAATATTAAATTTTGGGGAGTTGTTCAACATGTTTGATTCATTTGGAGGTTTCCTGAAATGGGGGTACCCCTAAATCATCCATTTTAATAGGATTTTCCATTGTAAACCATCCATTTGGGGGTACCCCCATGACTATGGAAACCCCCATTTTGATTCAGACCCGTTGGTCAATTCGCCTGGCATCGCGGCTCAGGTGGGTGAAGAGATGTTCTTTGGACCTCAGCTATGTTCCTTGGTCCAGGGCTTCCGCCGCTTTGTTTCCCGGAAGGGGATGGGGTTTCCACGTGGAGACCTTAGGAAAATCAGACATGGCATGGTTGAAAGTCTTCATTTGTAGATGATTAGATGAAATCACTTCATTGAAAATTGAAAGGTTCTTTTTCCTAGTAGTTGATTCACCACTGTTTCAACTGGTGATGTAAAGGGCTGATGGTGATCCAACATGTTAGATCCTGTTAAAATTCCTGCACCATCGACGTTCTCGTAAAGAGGTTACATAGATTTTGATATCACATGTGTGTTGGTTAAATCATGTTGAATCCCCAATGTTGATGTTTAAATTTAAGCATTGGGGGGTTGCTAAATCCCCATATTCTGGATGGCTAAAACATGGGTAAAAAAAAACCAGAGTGCTGCTGGTAAATCATTGTAAATCCTTCATGTGTTTATCCATGACAATCCATGATCATTCCATCCAACAGGGTCGTATCACCAGTTTTTTTGGGTTGGTTCACAATCCCCATTACTGTAAATAGAAGTACTGATAAATAACAGCCCTCATCAACCCTGAAATCGGAGTTATATGTTTCGCAATTAATGCTGTTGACCAACTTAGCGAACTGGGACACCCATCATCCAACACTGACGGAACCGGCCGCTGAGGAGCAAATCATGCGAAACGCGTTGGTTCCTTTGAAGGCCATCGCTGAGCGTCTAAATTTCCGCCTCACTGAGGCGCGAAGTTCGAAGCCATGGCGGCGCGAAGTTCTGGGTGGGGTGATGTAAAGCGCTGTTGGTTGAGGTCGGGGGTGAACTAATGGTTAGGCCATCATACGTATATATCATTATATAATATTATATATCTATATATCTATATATCTATATATATATAAAGTAAATATACAAATTATTATTGGGAATATCATTGAATATCAGAAGCAGTAATAATGATTATGATATATCATGAATTATTGGGGATTCTCATAATTATGGGGAACGTCATAATCATGGGGATTAGAGTATCATAGTTCATAAATACCATTAAATGCCTTTTACGATAATACTCACTATGAACACTTGGGGATTATCACAATTCACAATGGGAATCCCGTCAATCACCAACTAGATAACCAGATAACCAGTGTATAAAATTGAATACAGAGGGTTTTGAAATGCTTTGAACACTGCTCAGTTGGAAAATGTTGGAAACATGTAATAACATCCACCAATGAATAGAACAGGTAAACACATGACATGTAGCTCTGTGTGAAAATGATGAAAATTGGGGGGACCCCAATGACATTACAAATGAACCATCATTTTGGGGGGTGAACTGTTTGCGGACAAACCCATATATATATCCAAAGCATTTAGGGAAAGTCACAATCACACTGCTGTGAATACACAATAATAAGTGCTGCTTTGCGTTCTCATATTCCGTGGCTAAATATCCCCCATTTCTATGTACTATGTATATTGTACTATATACAGTATATACGTATACATATATATATATATACACCCTCTGGTAAACTAACATAACTATGGAAAATCACCATTTTTAATAGGTAAACCATCTATAAATGGGCCATTTTCAATAGCTATGTTTGTTTACCAGAGGGTATATACTTGCCTATGATGTTCCATCGATTTTTGAGCCGTTGCTAGTTATCAGTCACTTCACAGGAGCAGTTCGAGGAGGTGCGCGAGGACTTGCAAGAGCTGAAACGCAGCCACTGCGGCAATGCTGTTTGCCAGGCTGCCGCAGTCACCGCATCAGTTGAAATGAAACCTGGGGATTGTTGTGCAGTATCACGTGAGTTATCCAAGAATAAGTGGATTTGATGATATTTAATGGGATTGATCGGGGTTTAACATGATTTATTGTGATTTAATATGATGTGATGGGATCTTTTTTCGGGATCGGAAGGGATTACAATGGGAAAGAATGGGATTTGCAGTACCCTTTAGTTCTTTAACCTGGCTATGGGAAATCATTGTGCTTAATCGGCAAATCACACGGGCCATTTTCATAGCTATATTAGATAACCAGTTGGTAACCATTAAACAAGGTACCGGCGCCAATAGCGACCCTGGGAGATTTGCACATTGGTCCATCAGTGATCTTTCAAAAAACCTGCGTTTGCAGCATTTTCAGATTTTCTATTTTATTTGCGACATCAGGATTAATTGGTATTTGCAAGAGGGCAAGGTCCTTTTTTTTTGACCATTGGGATTCTGCATTTCAATACGTATTTATTTGAAATAATGTGATTCCAGAGCGCTTTCCCACCAAAGCCTCTAGTTTCTTGTCTTCGTCTCTTGTACATGACACTTGACATCTAGTAACGTAAGATAAAGGAAGATGCATGTGGTTAACGTGTCGTAGCGTAGCATCATCTCTTGTAGGATGCTAGAGCAAATGAACGTTGTTGCACCCCCCCACCCCACCCGAAACTCCAAATGAAGAGATCCAAGACTAAACTATGAGGTCTTTTGGGGTAGTTAAGTAGTTAAGATTAGGGAGATGAGATTTCTTGGATTTATGATAGGTTGATACATACCTATGAGTTAGCTGGGGATGGGTTTCATAGATTTTCATAGTGGATTGTTATGTATTGGGGAAGGAATTCTTGGTTTATCTTGGCTAGGTGCACTGAAACCGGTGGTGGGATAGCCCTCAACCTCAAAACGGCATGAATTTTGACGTCATTAGTTTACAACCATGCGCAAAACATCGTATTTTAATTTGATATATGCTCATGTTGGTTAATTATGTGCGCTATTTTTTGTTATACAGGTTAGTTTAATGATGTTTAATGTGACTGTTGCCAAAAACGAAACCCAAAGTAACATATTATCACCTAGTGTGTGTGTGGATGGAAGAAATCCCGCACCAGTTGCTAGATTGTTTATCCCACTATAATCTCAACCCTCAATGATCATGCTAGACTTCAGCTTAGATGATTTCTAGTTGGTATAGGATACATAGACAGACTCTCTTTCTGGAAGCTCTCAATGAGCTTGGAGGATCATCACACTTCATGCGGATCATGACTCTCGGTTAGTAAGCCCATGTAAGTCCTCTAAGTGGTTCCATTTATAGGTAAACTAATCCTAGTTCCTAAACAGAATGTGACAATAAGTGATTCTAATGAGAACTAGTCATCATCACCATCATCATAGATAACCCATTTATAATCCTAGAGAACTATATAATGTTTTTACCACATGGAGTCTCTCCCAATGTTTCGTTGCACGCACGGCTGCGAGTCGGAAGCCGAGTCAGCCGAGTCAGTCGCCGCCAGGTCACCAAGTTGTGGCCGGACCACCGGTCGCATGAAACTGAAGAGCTGCAGGCGGTCGAAAATCGGTGGAAAATCGCTGTGAAATCCATGAGATCTTCAATGGCTTTACCATGCTTTACCAATGGGATATATGAATGGATAATGGGATATTACTGTAGTGGATTATGGGATTTTTGTTGATGGGATAGGATTAGTGGTCTTTAAACATATTCTTCATGTTCATGGCTATAAAACCCCATGCCTTTTAACCCATGGCTCAAAAAAATGGGATGTATACTGGAATATAATGGGGACACCAATGGGATATAGATCTTCGATTTGCTGAGTGATTTGGAACCAATTTTCCCAATGGTTCATCCAATTCATCATGGGGGGTTCATCCACTGGGATTTTCCCAACTGTACCATGAGAATCACAACTCTTTAGATGAATGTAAGGTCCAAAAACCCCCTCTTTGGCAGGCTTGTCATGTTACTATAATTTGGGGGGATGGTAGACCAGGGAAAAATATATGAAACAACGGATCTTATCGACAAATATGAACCAATCTAAAAAGGGTCCTTAATTGAGAAAGAAGGCGATGTTTTGTAATGAATATTGTAATATTGTCATACCAACAAACATAGAACAAATTATACACACGTTACCCTCTGGTAAACTAACATAACCATGGGATATCACCATTTTTGATGGGTAAATCCACTATAAATTGCCATTTTCAATAGCTATGTCGTTTACCAGAGGGTATATTATATTCATATTTTTGATTTTGGAATCTTGCCAATAAGAATACACACTTTGATTGACACAAAATGGAGAAGACTTGGTTTGGAAAACAACCCTTTTTACAGGGAAGGAAAACAAAACTGATGGAAAAAAAAAAGTGCACACACACACATACTAGATTTACGTCACTGTTGGGACTTTCCCAATGTTGGAGGGTACAGTAGTCGATTTTGATGCAAAGTTGACATACCAAGCCTTTTGTAGGTCCGCTGCCACCCTGATTGTGAGCCATCCTGCCTATGATGATTCTCCCAGCGGGTTTTATCAAAGGTTTCCAACCTCGCAGGAAATGCTGGAAACATCAGGAAACATCAGGAAACATCAGGAAACATCAGGAAACATCAGGAAACATCAGGAAAACACAGATGTGTTCACATGTTTTGACCTTCCATGTTCCCAGATTTTCGGAGAAAAGTCATCCTTCATGATTGGTTGGTCATGTCCCACTTCAGTGTGTATGAGACGATCCCGGCTCGGTGGAAGGGCAAGGGCGACAGTTCCAACGAGCAGCTCAATGAGCTGAAGGATCCGGAGTATGTGCCTTGGAGATTTCTTGCTCGCCTTTGGTGGTCAGATATCCAAAATGGTGTATAGTAGAATGTGTCTTACTATGGGCGACTATGATGGGGATTTAAGCAACAAAATATAGGGATCATGATGGATCATGGATTATGCCAGAGTCAGCATCCCATGAAAACAACTTAAAATTAGTGGAGGTCATGCTAAAGATCTTCCCAGTACCATGGTATACCCAATTTCATAAATCTCTATTGGGCCTATTGGGGATGATTTATGATTGGGTTTACCACATTAGATGATTTAGATGATTGACCTGTTGAAAATTTGGGTGATCGAAAAAGAGGATTGGTGCTAGAGAAGCAAGCACCAAATACTGGTATATCTCCTTGATATGTGACCGTGCGTAGTGACTATAGCTCGTTCCTATAGCGAGTACTTTGATTTACTAACTATAGTCACCAATTATAATCACTAGTTAGTAAATTTACTATAATTATTTAATCACCAATTTTTATTATAATCACTAACTATAGTGACTACAGTCACTAACTATTACAGCCAAAGTTCATCCCCCAACCATGTTGCTGGATTTCATGCCAGTGCCCGTGGTGCCATATCTGTCCAGCGTGGAAAACCAGGCGCAGGTGCTGAACAGTCGCTTCAAAGAGTACCAGCGCTTCTACGGCTACATCAGCTGAGAGGGCCATCGATGCAATCGTTGGACCCGGCCCCATGTGCTTGGCACGGCAAAAGCGAGTGAAGTGGGTGGTAGCGTGCGGGAACATGTGGATCAAATTGGGTATATGATTGTATATGAATCATATGAATATATTATGTATAATATACGTATGTATATATATATGTGTGTGTGTGGTTCCTGCCCTGTTACAACAGCGGCGCCATGACAGCGGTGATGTTTTAGCTCGACCAATTTGATGTGGGCGGCTGATGGTAACTACATATCTGATGATGGTGAAGAGGAGGATGATGACGATGATGACGATGATTATGATATATTATGATCATGACGATGGTGATGATGCTGGTGATCATCAGATCATCAGATCATCAGATCATCCACCACCATCATCATCATCATCATCATCACCACCGCACTGTTCAAGATTAAAGTGTGGAGTATGTTCAGTCATGGTTTATAGCCAACATATCATTATGAAAGTGCCTTGCCCTTGGGTTCCATGAAGTGCTTTCCTTCCTGATGACAGCAGGTGTTCCACTGGCTACATATCCGCTGGTAGAAAGGAAAAGAGCTGCAGCTTTAAATCATTACGGCAGACCCAAGATGTCAGTGGCGAAGCATTGAGCATTGGTGGAGTCTGTCGTTGTGTGTGCAAAGTATTCCAAAACACCAGAGATCATCGATATTTTACACATGCAAACTAGGCTAAACTACGGGTTTTTCCGTGGATTTTGGTCGTTCCCCTCCTTTTTTTGCAGCACATAAATTGGGGATTTCCCAATTTGGAGCCAAGTCCTGATACCCCAGTGATAGTCGCCATGGCTTTACGGACATGATCCAATGACTTGGATGAAAACTGGGGTGAAAGAAAGCCTTACATTATAGCTGGTGGTTTGGAATATGTGGGTTAACTATGGTTTATGGTAGATATAACGAACATTAACGAACTAGTTAATGGGGATTATAATGGTTCATAAACCAACAAACACTGCTTGGTGGTTTCAAAGATGTTTTTATTTTCCATAATCTATGGGATAAACCTTGCCATTGACGAACTCCATCATTTTTCAGAGGGTTTACTGTAAAACCACCAACCAATGCAGGTAGTAGTTTACGATTATACGAGCTGCATTTGCATTAAGACATGTCCCAGTTGTCAGTGTTCTCACACAAGTGTAGTTTATCACTTATACGTGGTGATTCGTGCTATGATGCCAGCATCCCTGCATTTGAAAATAGGAAACCAGAGCCACAGCCCATTACAGTACTACTTATAAAAATTAGGTAGTGGTGAAGACTTGACACATTTGGCACTGCCGTTATGAATTCAAAAACTTTGAGCCAATTGTTTCATCCATGGGGGGAATCCTCAATCCTGGCCTGGTCAGTGCCCGATGGGTAAGAGCATTTCGGCTCTTAGCTCTCTTCCAAAGATACTAAGACATACTAAGACATACTAAGACCATCTTAGACGATCTAAGAGCCTAGTGGATGATGGCAGCAAGTTGTTGCCTTCAAACGTGAAAGCCCTCCACCTGAACTCCTTAAACTTCAGGAAGCGTTGCTGTTTGGATTCGCGAATTGATACGATCACCCCTGATTAACATACCTGAAGAGAGTGGCTCACCACCACTCATATTCTGGTTGAGTTGTTTGGATGGTTTCAAGTAGACCTTTTCAAAAAAATAAACTGAATTCGGGATGATGATCCCCAATTGATTAAGTTTCTTCAGATGGGTTGACCCCACTCACCATGTGTGCTGCTTGGACTCACCGTTGGATACCCCCCTGTACAAAGCCAGCCGAAATTTGCGCGCGATGCGTGACCCCTTGCGCTGTAGTGTGGCGGAAGAGTCGCCAGAAGAGGCACAGTAGAAAGGGCTGCAAAGGCAATGTAGATCCATGGAATCCTTGAAAAGAGAAGTGTTTATATTATTTTTCAATAAAATGGGTTTGTCTGACAATTTTTGGGAAAACATCCAATTTTTTGATGGTTGACTGGCTCTTTGTTCCTTAATTTGGAGTATCCCCCAGTTTCAGTCAAACTCAGGCTCCGCAAGTGGTTCGGAGTAAAGGACGAATCAAGGCAACAAGTTCTTCATGTCCAGGATTAAAAAAACACGCTTCATGGATAATAAACGTGATGGTGTATCCGTTCTTAAAATGGTGATGTTCCATAGCAAACTGTTAAATAACCAGAGGGCAATCATTTGCCCGGATATAATTATTGGGTAGTACTAGTAACTGGGTGATAGCGATGGCTTCAAAGAATTCATGTATAAGTAAAATAGCAAGCCGCAAGCCACTTGTTAGTATGGTATCAACTCTAGGCATAAAACGGATCATGACGCAGGTTTTAATTTTGGACGATAAGAATCTTGTAGAGACTCGATGCATGGTTGTAGTAGATGTGTTCATTAATATGTATATATTTATAAATTTATATTATACACACTCATTGTTGCGGAATGTTGCGAAGTTTATTTGAGCTGAAGATTAGTGTAATTTACCATTGAAGTAGATGAGCCATCATGTCCTCGTTGTCTAAGTCTGATTCTATGCCACGACCAGTAGAACCCCAAAAGCTCCATGGTTTGTCACGTTCTCCAATCAGATTTTCCTTCAGTCCATCCCCTTTGAGACAAGTCCCATTCGCAGACAATGTATATCCATCTGATTGGTCATAGATCCCACCATATCATTGCATTATATTGCATTGTATTCTATCAACTATCCAATCAATGTTTATGCTGGATGTCTATGAGAATCCCTAAAAACATAGTTTGTAAATATATTTAACCGCCGTTGGCGTGTTCCGCCGGCCACCACGGCCAGAGCTATTTCGGCTTCTCAGACCTTCAACGCAGAGACATGGCATAGGAGAGATAAAGCGCAAGGTTCCTAAAAGGCTGGTGTTACTCTTGCTCACCAAGATAGAAGTCCTAGACCCTGAAAAGGTGGGAACCAACCCTGCTCTTCAGTGCAGTCAAGAGAGAGAGAGTAGCAAAGCAGCCGACCCAGCAAGAGCATGAAGGTGAGGAAGCCGGGCAGGGCACTTGTGTAAGACAGGGTTGGTCTGTACAGGAGTGGGTTTGAGTGCAGCAAAGCTTTTGGCTAAACCAAGGCTGTTGTGTAGACGGGGCGTCAGCCCTAGAAAGCCCTTGTAGCACATTCATGGCGAAGCAACGGCGGCAGAAGAAAGCTTAGACAACAGCAAGCCAGCTAGCCAACCAAGAACGTGAAGCGCAGGACGCAGTGGAGCAAACAAGAACACGCGCACGGTGTGCAAGGCGGGGGCAGAGACGAACCCAGCACATTGCAACGAAAGACACAGAGGAAAAATACGAAGAGAAGACAGAAAAGATTGTGTTGCGTAAGCGGGGTTTGGGTTGAAATTGGGGGAGGGGGGGGTGGGTTCAAGTTAGACGGGGCAAAAATCCGCGCCAAGGGAAAGTCTAGACAAAGACAAAAGACTAAACAAACAGTACAACTACGAACAAGCAAGATCCACAAGACACGCCGGCAGGCCGGCGGATTCATTACATGATATATATATATATAACAGATGGCGTGTAATTTGTGTACACATCAATGTTTCGAACATTCCGATAGTATATCACTGTTTATTTTCCATCACTATGATCATCATCATGTTCCTATTAAGATGGCTATCAACAATCCCATATATTAGATTATACTAGCATATCCCATTAGATCACATCTACTAGTGGTCTGTAAACATCAATGGTTTCTTTCGTTGCTAGATGACAAAAGAATGCCGGAAATTCAACGCGAAATGCCAGGCCCAAACCTCCAACTTGGTCCCAACGGAACGTGGCCAGCGGAGCGATGTTGTGCGTCATGTCTTGGTGGATTTGGTGTGGCTTGGCAGCGATGATGGATAGAGCTGGTAAGGTCTGACATATCCGCAATAAAATGTCTAGGTCAAAGCCTTCACACGGTCGAAACCTTGTAGTGTGGTTAAAACAATGCCATATATAAACCATCCGCAAGTACCATTTTTATGGGTGGTATAGACCAAAAAAATGGGGTGGTTTATGGCATTGTTTTAACCACATTAAAGATACCCACTGGTGAACTAACATAGCTATGGAAAATCACCATGTTTAATGGGTAAATCCACTATAAATTGTCATTTTCCATTGCTATGTTAGTTTACCAGAGGGTAAGTTACGATCGCATGCTCAAGTCTTGGACAGGCTGGGAAGAATTGGACCAAAAGTGGAGGCTTTTTGCTCCTAAGATCCGGACATTTTTGTGGGGAAAAATTGGCACCCCACTTGAGTCATGTGTCGTGCTGTCACATTTTGAGGATGTGGTTGAAAAACACCAACCAGAGGAGACATATTATGATTTTTACATATCTCTGTCGGTTATGATCTGATTTTTGTCCGCAAATTATTCCAAAATTGATGGCTTGAAACCCCCAACCAGTCTCTGAGCCTGCTATCAACAACGCAGCTCACGTAATTTGAGGTTATTCACAGCCACTGTGCTGGTGATCTATGGCATCTCGAGCGTTTTGGATCTGGAAGTGATTGGGATATACCCCAAAATAGCCATTTCAATGAGGCAAATGATGACAAACAATGGGATTTTTTGGGGTACCCTGTAGGATATATATCTTCGATATATACGGGGAATATATATATATGTATATATATATACATTTGCCAAATAAAGACAATAATACTAATCAGAATAATGATATTATATATATATATACATAACTTCATGATTAATGATGCATACTGATGACTGTGATTAATACTGATACGTTTTGATCATTAATGATGGCCACAAATGGGTGGTCAAGAATAAATTGCCAGCAGACCCATCCATTCTTCGGGGTCGATGATTTTGATCCATGCCAAACATTCCTGGTGCAATTGTGGATACCAAAAAACCAGGGAAGATACAGAGATTCTATGGTCATTCTATGGTCTTTGTCCTTGCAAGCTGCTTGCGCAGATTCAAACAGTTATGGCCATTTACCAGTTATAGATAGTTATAGCTGATTATAAATGGGAGTATACATTCTATAAATGGGGTTTTCTTAGTACTTATAACTGATAGCCATGGCCATAACTGAAAGGCTTTCCGGATCCCGTTTTCTGGTGGTGTTTTTCTTGTTGCCCTCCATGGCATCGGATGGGGAGTCGATCATCCACTGGAATTCCTATGGCATCGGATGCGTTTTTTTCCGCACGGCGTGCTGGAAATGTTCCAAAGAATTGTGAGTTTCCCAGCTAGACACTTCCATTGGCGATTTCCTAGCTATGTTTGACTAGATAGTTTTCCCACTGAAACCCTTGAGGAGTTCCCAGCTAGCCATCTTTGATGACACCGAATAATAAATATTGTTCTCATTAGTTCTCATTGAACCAAGGCCTTCCATCTTCCCAAGTGCTTTGGATCGTTCTCTCGGTACTTTTGGTCCTCATGGTGCTTTGGCGCGTGCTGCATTTGCAATCTGCGAAGATCGCTGAGAGTCTTGGCCGACGAGACAACGTAACAAAAAACATGAGGGTTCTCTAAGCCCACTTTGGCCATGAAAAGATGGGTGTGTATGGTGTGTGAGACCAAACAGATGTATGACATGTTTGTTTGCAAATAGTTTTTCATGCCTGTTGCAGCTGTTGCAAAAAAAATGAGGGTACAACTGGGCATATTCCCCCAACATGTTCGTACAGTCCCTTCTTTTTCTAGGTAAATTGAGCGGATCGAGGGTTTGCTTGTCACCTCTGGGAACTCAAATCCAGCAACTGGCTGGCTATGTTGTGACCATATCAAGTTTTTTTTTAGGAAAAGAAGCAGGGATCAAGTTATATAGATCACTTGCATATACTGTCACTTGGTGATTTTATATGATTTTATCATAAGCCGGCCTTGGCCAAGCACTTGGGGACGTCCAGGATTCCCTACACCTGTGGCTACGCCTCCGCCAATGGCAAGGATGTGCAACCTGGATGTTGCGGGAGTTTACCAAAAAAGGGGGTTCGGATTTCTACTACCTTGAGGGGTGGGTTGACCCCCTGTGCAATTCCAAACCCCCATATAGTAATTACTAGTACTTCTGATGACACGTATACATATATATATATACTATGACATATTATGTGCTATATTTAATGTAGTTTTGGGATATGGGTAAATTCTATGATGAGCCTGCCTCTGTAGCTGATAAATGTGGTAAAGGACTGCTGAAGTTGCTGATGATTTTCTGAAGATTCTTGCTCCGCATGGTTCCCAAGGGGCAGCCTCCAGCGGATGCATGTTTTCAACGTCGAGTTGTTCTGCTGACACACAATTCGAACTGGTTGGTGGTTTGGAACATTTTTTATTTTTCCCCTCATATTGGGAATTGTCATCATCCCAACTGACGTTTTTGAGAGGGGTAGGTATACCACCAACCAGATAATAGTTGTTCCTGCGGCCCTGGAACATGGCAAAACACCAGGCCTTCCAGAGATGATCGGATTCTAAGGTACATCGTTTCAACGTTGCACATCTCCCCAAGATCGGTGCCTTGACTTAAAGCGATTTTCGGGATGGGCGAGAGTGTTTTTACCCGGAAAACGGCGGAGTGTTATATCTCATGTATCATCATATATTACATGATATATCATATATGATATATCATATATGATATATCATTTATGATATATCATATATGATATATCATATATCATATATGATCTATCATCTGATATATCATAGAATATCTGAATTTGGATGAAGTTGGGGTATACCACCGAAATGGCCATTGTAGGCAAAATGAGGTATTCTATTGCCATCCAATTGAGGGTATCAATTTTCAGACAAGCTCATGATTAAGATTTATAGTCGAGAACATTTGAACACCTATTATTGGCAAAGATGAAGTATATACAATAATTATACAATATTTTACAGGTATGATATGACGTCATTGGGGATGTCATCCACTGCCAACAAAAAATCCCCAAGTCTTTGTCAAACTGTGAGGAGCGCGACGTGATCGCGGCCATTGCGGCGGTGCACCCGGACGTCGTGATGATCGAGTTGGACGAGGAGCGACTGGAATTCATGCGGGGACCCAGTCAGCGCCCGGTGCTGCAACAGTTTCAATACACCGTGCCTTGGAAGCCTTGGAAGGGATGAAACCTGGACCTGTGGGACGGTTTTTGTTGGGACGTGGTTTTATTGTTTTGACCGGGACCATGATACTTAAACACAAGTGTATATATATATATGTATATATATATATGTGTATATATATACATACACGATTATATACGGGCATATGTGTGTATGTATTGAAGTACATATATGTGTGTGATGGGTTGCTCAGCCTGAAATCCCCCTGTTTCAGGTTGAAAATGGCACGGATTCTTCAGACGCGGTGCCGCTGGTGACGCAGCGAGCCTATTGGAACGGCGAGTTCGCGGGGGATCAGATCTCTGGTCCCATCGTTTTGCACAGCAGTGGTAGCTCGAGGTTACTTGGACAATGACCAGTTGAGCCTGCTTTGGATTGGATTGTTGGGGTAGATCTAGAGGAAACCATGGGTTTGGGAACTACATTTCGGGCTGGATGGGCTAAAACATCTTGAAATTTATTTCTTCTTCCCAGAAAAATGTCTGGTTTAGGAAGTGGATCCTTTATTTTGGATTCTCGTGCAAGTTGCTAATCTGGGATGATGCATGGTTTTTGGATGTTCTTGGACCATTCTGCTTGTCAAGCAGATCGGGGCTATTAGGCCCCTTTTGTGATTATTTCAATACACATGTAATTCCAATCCAATATACATATATGTTTATGCATATATATATATGGATGCACAGGTATCATAGGTGTAAAATATCATAGGTGTAAAATATCTAGGCATAGATACTACACACAGATATAGAATGATTATAATATATAATACTGTATTGATAAGTTTTCATATTTATATATGTATGTAATTATATATATATGTAAAAGTTTGCATAGCAGCTGCGGCTGCGGCCCTGTTCGCTGGTCGCCCAGGTTCAGTCCAAGTGTCTCTGGTTGCATCGTTCTGGTGGAGGCGCGGTGTCGATGTTACAAGTGACTCGCTGTGTAGAAATTATGGGGAAGATAGGGGTAAAGTATGGGATTTGATGATATAGCGAATATGACCAACAGTAATGGTGTGTTTTTTTGTGTGTATACTATGTATGTCTCTCTCTCTCTCTATAGATATATATATATATATCAGTCGATAGATAGATCTGGATGTATGATTTATGGGATTTTATATATATATATATATGTGTATATGATGGAAACAGCAAAGCAGTGGAAATATCATAGAAAATGTGTGCATTTGACCGCCAAACATTTTGGAAATATGAAGGGTTAATGGGGAGTTGAGTGACAAGAAATACCCGAACATCCCGAACATTGACATTAAGAAAAAAATGAACGGACAACATAAAGAATCGACCAGTGGATCTCTGTGTGCCCTATTTTAGGACAGACCGATGTTGTTTAACATCATATGTGTCCTCTGCCAGAATCGGTTCGAGGCAAACGTTGTTATCCATATTTGGATCATAAGAACCATGGTTCGGTTAGTTCGGTTTCCCCAGTTGTTTTTCCAACCCATTGAGCATGCGGTGGTTTCATTTCTCGATTTTCCACCCTGGTGTTTTAGATGGTCAATGATATGTTTGTGATGGGTTCAAACCATCAACCTGCTTTGTCCAGAAATACCCCCTAAATAGCCGTTTTTCTCATCAGGGCAATGTGAGGGAAACCATCTTTCCTTGAACAGGGGTTGGTAACTGTCCCATTTTGGGAATATTGGACATCACCTTATAGTAGCCATGGCATAGACCATATACCTAATGGTTGAGTGATGTTCAATGGGGACATTTAATGACCCATGTTGAAGGAACCAATTTTCAGACCAACAAATTTGTCAAGGACCTTTTTGGTCTTTCTATAGTTGAACCTTCCTGACCTTTAGGATCTTCAACTCGGGATGCTCTGGGTGAGTCTTCCTATTGAATAACTATATTGTGTTGAAGATTGAAGATAGTTGTATATGTTCTATGTATTTCTATGTTGTGTTGAATAACATATTCTTGGATAGTTCTAGTTCTTAGGACCGGTTCCTATGCAGTCTGGTCCTTTCCCCTGAGTTGGTTCATGAAGAATCAGGGCTGCCGTTCCTTCTCTTGTCGAAGCCATGTTGTTTTTCAACGCCCATTGCAGGATATTGCAGGCAGATGTTGCAATTTACAGACCCCAAATTATTTCACATGATTTAAACAATTTACTAGGTCAAAGTGGTAACTTATGCCGCGGTCATCTTCTTGTGCCGCAAACGGTGTGCCGTTGGGAAGTCCATGATATACATGTCATTCTTGCTGGATGAATCAATTGTTTGTGGCATTGATTTTTCTAACACTTTACAGGGGCACACATGTTTTTGAGACATATTCTTCTTGAGATAGAAACTCATGGGGATGGCTTCTCAATAGCTTGACTCGCACAGAAGAGAGAACAGTAGAAGAGAAGAGTAGAGTAGAAGAGACTATATACAGAAGAGTAGAGAAGAGAATCGAATTGAAGAGTAGAAGTGATTAGAGAGGCCTAGAGCAGAGAAGGGAAGAGTAGAAAAGATCCCTGCTGCCTTGCCCTGCTGCCTTGCCTTGCAAAATCCAGATCTCGTACAGATCTCGTAAAGACCTCGGAAGGATCTCGTAAAAATAACGCAATGATAATGTCATGTAGAACTCCTGGTCTTCTAGAGGTCAAGTTGATGGTGTGCCATGCGGTTTACAACGCTTTGTGTCAGGTTTAAGACAGATAAACGGTACAAAGCGTTGCAGTCCGCATAGGAAAACAATGTGCACATACATGGATCGGCAAAGTGATCGGCTGCAGAAAGAAAACTGTTACCTGAGTACTTGGATGTACTCGGTGTGCCAATGGGAAAAACAATCATGGATGACATTCTTAGAGATTAAATATGTTGTTCCGACAATGGGAACTACATCTGAGAACTTGGGTTGATAGAAAACATCTTGTAGGTGTGCCATGCGTTCCTTGACATTTGGGGTGAGGTCAAAGAATTCACGAACTGATGTAAAACGTACCAAATCCCTTAGGAAAAGAACAAACCAATCCAAAAACCTGTCCGTGAGGGCCGGTGTGCCATGGTGATTTGCACATGGCGTAAGTTCTTGGGGTCGTGGGGTAAGCGGTGTGCCATGCGGTGGGGTAAGTTCATAGATTTTGGGGCAAGTTACCCCTCGGACTCGTACCCTCTCGTTATTTAGCATAGCCAAGGAAAATCACATGCTATTAATAGGTAAACCATCTATAAATGGACCATCTATATCATGGCGAACTGTTAGTCATAACCAGAGGGTAAGAACTTTTGGGTCACTTTCGGGGTTCACAGCCAACCCATTGCGTAGTGGGGTTAATGGTTAGCTCATTACTCTAACTGGGTGACAATTTGTCAAACATCAGATATGCCCAATCAATGGAACACAACCATCCAGTTATACCTATCTCCATGTCATTGATATATGCACTACTCATCAACGCACCCATATATTCATAATATGTATGTACATATACAATCATACATATATATATATATTTCAAATAGATCAAGTTCAAGTACAGGAGAAAAATCTATAGTTGAATTCCACACTAGAATTGATAGGTCCAATATAGTTCACTATTAGTTATGTATAGTTTCTGTAATTCCACACTTACATCTATTCGTGGCAATTGCAATTCCACAGGACCCGGGCCTCGCGCCGTTGGCGCAGCTGGCCTTTGCCGCGGCGAAGGAGGAGGCGCGGGCCTTGCTGTGCGCGGCGCACACGGCACGTGCCGGGCTCAGCGGGCAGCAACTGCCGGCAGGTGCGCCGGGGGTGGGGGGGAAACCCTGGGTAACTGGGGTAGCTACCAACCAAAATGGAGGTTTGACCATGTTTGATCCACAATTTTTGGTGTTTTTCTGGTAATAACTAATTGGATGTGGGTGCTCCAGAATTACTTAACTACCTTAGGAAAAAATAACTAGGTTAACGATTGGGTCTATGGTGGATATATTGAACTAGTTAGAGGGGTTATTATAATTCTTCTTATAGCTGCAGGGGACCCTATGTGCTGTTTTGGGTTCACTATTTCATGTTCAACAGTTCTGACAGTAATAGTGGGATTATGACTATGAGTCATGATCATCCCATTGAATTGATACTTATAAGTGGTGAATCACCTTGACGAAGATAAGTCTATTACATTTTGGGTTATCCTATGTATATTCCTACATATCAATGGGGTCTAGCGATGGTTACCAATGACAACTTTCCATTTGGAGAACCCTGGGCCTAACATGGAACTAAAACAGATGAGTGAATAAACACAAAAGAGTTGGGATTGATCTTGGATTTATGATTGCTTTCCAATTGCTTTTCACAAGAAGTGACATGACGATGTTAGGCTAGATTTATGGAGACAAGTATATAGTTGAATTGGTGAACATGAACCAATTTTATACTCTAACCCGGGGCTCCACTGTGAGTTGATGAAAGTGGGAAGCAGAAGAACATTGGATGTTTACTTTTCTAAGATATGGTAACATATGGTCATGAATAGACATTGACCAACAATAATTACGTACTCTTCACTTGAAATCCTCGGTTTCGGTCACTTTTTTTTCTTAAAGGATGATTTCCCTCAGGATTTCGGCCAGCTTTGATTACCAATGATTTCATGGACCGCATGTATATATATATATATATATCAAAGATTTTCAAACGATCCTGTCACCACTTCCTCCAAAGGCATATCAAGCACCTCTGGAGCCTATGGGACAAATCTTATGCAGCTAGGAGGGGAAATCTCCCCTGCTTTGCGAGGAAAAGCAGCAGTTTGAGTATGACATGATTGACATGATTGACATGATTGACATGATTGACATGGGCTGCGGGCAAAAGTTGTTGCTGTTGGTTTGGAAATCCATGTCACCTGCCCTGTCGCGTCTTTTGTGTCACCGTGCCGCACCGTGCCGTCGTGCCAGGTCGTTTGGGCAACGAAAGTTTGCTGACCGATCTGCGGGTTGCCACCCGCGCCAGAAACATGGGAGTCTTGGACGGAGAATTATAACGCGTGATCCATAGATCTGGGTAAATTTCATCACGACCGAACCCTGCGACCGAGCCCTGGAAATCATGGTTATTAATAAGGGGAATCATCCCCTTTTATGGCCTTAAGATTCAGGTTAGTTAAATATTATATTATTATTTACCCAGATAGATCCATAGGAAAATTAGGTACACGGAATATCACGGAATGATGAAGCGCCAGGAAACAACGTTTCATATGGTCATATGTTTTTTGTTCGTGTGGGATTGCTAATGTATGTGATCATGGATCAGTCGGAATGATGTGAAATTCAGATGGAACGACAGCAGCAAATGCAGATGTTTTTGTCCAGAAGATATAACCATCATTCGTTTATTAGGGTCAAGGACACATTTCATCTGAGACCAACTATGGTTCATTCCCAAGGCAGGACGTGCTTAAAAAGAAAACAAATATATCACATAGACATATAGACAAAGTGAAAATAATTTGATACTACATGAAGTATACCCGAAGTACACATGATGTTTACAGGAAGTATGAACCAAAGTACACATGATGTCTACAGGAACTATGAACCAGAAACACACAGTCTCTTTGAGTGGTGTCACCCCAGATATAAATTATTATAAATGTGTTTACATTCGATATATGTATCATAAACCCAAACGTGAAATTGGAGTTACCCTCTGGTAAACATACATAACTATGGAAAATCACCATTTTTTAATGGGTAAATCAACTATTTCTATGGCCATGTTCCATAACCAGAGGGTACGGTATAAACCACCAAGCTTCGCCAGTCGAAATCCAGCATCAATCCACCAACGCCGACGGGTTGGACATCCAGGATATCCACCCATTCCAGTGCTGATGATGTCGCAGAACAGCAGTCAACAGCTGATGGCCAAGCTGCAAACCGCTACTGTCCAGGCCGGGAAGAAACGGCGAAGTGGAGGATCTTATGGTTGGTTTATAATGGAAAATCCTATTTGTTGTTGGATCTTAGTAGTTCAGTTAGTATAGTTCATATTAGCGACAGCCGCATGAAATGTGTGCCATGGTCAAAACGGTCGTTGCTCGAAATACAGTACCAGGATTCGAGGACTGCATGGGATCTTGGCCAAGTATAGTGGGGTGATTCGATCCCATTAAATCCCTTCAAAAAGCCCATATTTGGTGGGATTTCATCGCCAATCAATGTAGCTTGACCATGGCACATATGACTGACATGTTCGGTAAAACCAATGAATATGCCCAAATTATTGTGGTTATATTCCCCAACACATCCCTCGTTTATATCTTCAGCATATCCCTATTATATCCCTGTGCTCCTGGGTCTTGAACACTTCTCTGCACTCTCATCAAAAGTTGGATTAGATGAAGATCATACATACATATATACATATATGTATGTGTATATAATATATATATATAGTATATATATATATATATAGTATATATATACCCAGATTGGATGATCATAGCTGTCGTAGCTGTCATCAATCCATGAAAATAGGGATGACCAAAAACGCCCCAAAAACACGGATTCCCGTGCTATGGGATGACCGGCCCAATGATTCCCCTGTTTACTCCCAGAACGTCGTTGATCAATTCCATTTTCATATTATGCACACGAAATATGGGAAAACCATGGGGAAAACCATGGGAAAACCAATGAAAAGTCTATTAAATTTCTATGAAATACCATATTAAGATATATTAAGTACTGGTTGGTGGTTTGGAACCATGGAATTTTGAATGACTTTCCCATCATATTGGGAATTTCAGAAAATCCCAACTGACGAACTCCATCATTTTCAGAGGGGTAGATAATGATGAAGCGGATTTGTTTCTGGGAATTGATCCGGGATTATATTAGTACAATGGGAATCAGAATGGTAATCCCTATAAAGTAATGGGATTATGGTTTCTATTTACTGTATCCCACTACATTGTTGATGGTTAAATGATTATCACTCCCCTTTTCATCCAGGTTGATCGTGTGAAATCCCAATAGATATCCCATGGCATGGGATGCCCCATATGATAATGACCATACCAAAAAATGTCAAGAAAAAAGCAAGTTATAGCATAAATTATATAGCTAAATCCGAAGAAATATCCCATTGAATCACCATGTTTTTGCTGGCAACATACATTACCTGGTTGGTGGTTTGGAACATTTTTTATTTTCCATAATATATAGGATAATCCTTCCCATTGACTTTCATATCTTTCAAGATGGTTATTGCACCACCAACCAGATTACCTGGGTTTGTTTAAGTTGTTTTAGTCAAAATGGGGGAAATCCACTGACTGGGAACTTATCATAAATCACCATCTTGCTTATATTAATACTTAAATCAAAAGTCATTCAAGATTGTACTTTAAAGTACTCTATCGATTCATACTTTAGTACCATTGAACTTTAAAGTGCCATTCTTCACTCGTTACCAGGGCTCCTTCCAAGTCCTGCCGGACGACTTTCCACGGCGCACGCTGCGGCGGCGCATTTGTCAGGTGCCTCCGGCGACCGGTGTTTGCAAAAGCGGCTGTGGTAAATCCCAATGAACAAACTTGGGGGTCCATAATATATATATATATATATATTATAGTTTTTTGTTTATACATACATGCATGCATACCTAGCTACCTACCCGTACGTACGTGTATATATATATATATATGTATCAATAAGGAAGTGTATACATATATGTATAATTATGTATATGTTTTTTTTTCATACCCTATTACTTACCTGGTTGGTGGTTTGGAACGTTTTATATTTTTCCATATATTGGGAACAACAATCCCATTTGACTAATATTTTTCAGAGGGGTAGGTCAACCACCAACCAGTTACGTTATTTCTATTTCTACATCGTGACGAATGAGATTTTCAGCGGTTAGATGACCAGGATGAAAATACATCCAATTGTTCCCTGATTTACTGGTTCATGTACTGTACCCATGGTTTTGTTTTGGGAAACACAAACATGTGACCGATTTTCAGAATGGTTGATAGGTAGTTATAAGCAGCTAAAAAAAGCTGCTTATTGGGGATTCTGAACGCAGATGTTAGGGAAACCCTTCGACCAACGAATATGGTTGGAGATCTGGAGTATTTTTGTTTCAACTACCATGATTTCATTAGTTGCTAGCCCAATACTTCATGAGTTGCGTTTCTGAATTTTTGAAGCTGGTAAAAAAAAACTCTAGGTAAAACAATCTCTATCCCCTCATATGTTCCCTAGGATTTTTAATATTTGTGTGGCTCATGAAGCAACGATTTTCAGCCTGGCTCCTTGGCGTTTCGAAAGGAAATGGCCTTCGCCCTGTCGGGCATTTGGCTTCTCTATGGCGTCATGGCGCCTTGGATGCCTTTTTCATGCCTTGGATGCGGATATCGGGTTGCTGGGATTGCAACACCTCGCCATGTTGAATACTATATATACGTTTACTAATATGTTATACTATTATACTAGTGTACTTATACTGATACTGATAATATATGATATATGATATTCATGATATTCATGATATTCATGATCTTCATAATTATCTTCATATGTCTATACATGGCTTATATTGGCTTATTATATACATTATGAATTATGAATTATTATATATTAAGATTATGATATATATATATATATATATATATACGTATACAATTCTCTCCAGGTGTTAAAGCCACAGCGACTTTGAATCCAGGAAGAAATTTTACTGAGTTGTTTTTTGCCCAAACAATGAACTCTTCTTGGATAGTTTAGTGCCCCCCCTTTTGCTCTGTGGTTTTAAAACTTGTTTTGAAAATTCCATCGGACAGTTAAAATCAAAGGATGGCGAAATCTCATAGTTTGTCAAATCAGTTCCAATCCATTTTCTATTTGTTTTGGTGGAGAAAAATCTATGAAATCCATTCAAATCTCCGGATAGTTGGTCTAATTTCCTCCACATTTTTGTTGGGGGGAAAAAGCGGTGAGTCCGTTCCTTGAGATGTTTTTTTTCCGGGGTCCGCTTCCAGGAGTGTTTCCAGGTGGACGCGGGGGACGAGTTTCTGGCGGCGGAACGGGAAGCGCAGCGGCGGCAGTTGCCATGTCTTTGTATCGACCTGGATATGGCACCATGGCCCGGGGATCCGGGATGATCCTCAAAATCGTGGAAGTATAGTGGGAAAACATGTGATACGATGGAATAGAGATAGAATATAGTAACTAACTATTAACTACGTATGATTATTATTTATATAATATATAGTTATTTAGTATTACTAGTACTATAGACTATAGTTATTATAGTTTTTGTAGGATTTCTTTAAAGATGATTTTTGGATCGGTGAAGCCAATGCCATTTTTACCATCCCCAAATTGAGATTTACCATTGGGTAGACACAATCATGACTGAGATGATGTAAAATGACCCCCTTCTATGGGTTGATGGCATGGTTTATGGCAGGTTTACCACATGAATGGGGATAAAAAATAGCGATAAGAAGCGGGGCTGTCGTTCGACTGGTGACATCTTTCAAGGGGATCTACCGGCGATATCAGTGACGAATTTTTCACCATCAAACGAGTAAAATATAATGGTTTATATAATGGGAGATAGTCATTTTAGCAGTGGCTACTCAATCATCCTTGCTGGTTGTTGATTATAGTTATTTTATGGGAGTTAATCATCCTTTATAGGGAGGTTTAACATGTTTTAACAATCAAACATATGGAAGTATAGTGGCTAAAACCAAGGTTTGTGGATGAATTGTGTTTTGTTTACCGGACTCAAGAAGAACATGTTTAGTTCAGGCTTTAACTATCAGAGATCTGGGACATGTGTGATAAACAATGGTTGATGATATTGGATTATACAGTATACATGATTATACTACCCTTGATTAATATATTAGGGATTGTCACAATCCATGAGCTGTGAAATCCGTTCTCAACCAGTATATTGGAAAAATGGTTTAAACACTGCCCAGTGAAGAGAAGGAGCTATGGTTAGATTAGTCATAGCTAGATAACAAAGATGGCGGTGTTGTTACCATTTTCTGGCGGAATCATGGAACAATTTATATATGTGTTTTTTTCATTTGTTGATTGGTATATGTTCTGGGATATTTGTCAGGTTGCAAACTATCTGGTGGTGAATGGAGGGAGTGGTTCGAAGCTATGGTTGAATGGTGGCATTTGTATGTCCTACAATCACAACGGATTTTCCAAGCCACATGATAACGGATTGATTGTTAAATTTATCCTCCGGTAATCAAACGTGGCAATTGATTCATAGTTGATTGGCCATTAAAATACCTCCATGTATAGAGATGTTCTATTGCCATGCTTGGCCGGAGGATAAGTCACTATGTTTTCTTTCTTGGAGGGTTCAACCAGTGAGGTCAGCCGGATTTGACTTCCTACCCCTCCTGCAAGCTGCTACCCACGGCTCCGTCTTAACCAGAAAAGCATGTCCTAAAGCTTCTCTTGTTGCTTGCTTGCTGGTTGCCAGCATCATTCCCTTCAAAAAATAATCGCTGCAATCAAACATGGCGGGCCGCTGGGCAACCCATGCATTGAGACCGGAGATTTTCATGAAATAATATATGAATGTATACAAATGAGCAGTGTCCAAAACCCAAGTTGGTTGATGATTAAAGGGGACTATACTAACTATATGGTGGATGACCACAATCCATGATTCTCAACCAACCACTATGCTCCCAGCTCCGTCCAATTTGTGGCGCCTGAGGATCGCTTGTGTAGCCGTTTCGCTGCTGCTGCCATACCATACCCGCAGAAACTGGGCCCATGGTGGCAGGGTCTGGCCTTAAGTGCTGAAGGGTAGTTGGAGACTCCAACCTTTTGCAAATAAAGACACATGCGCGGAATATCATTTGGGAAAATATCGAATGGATAATGGATAAGTTTTTTTGCAGGGTATCGACATCTAAGATTTACAGTAACCCCCTTATATTTGATGGTAAAACCATAGATTTGTCCTGTAGATTTATCCTGTAGGTTTTCCCTTGTTGATGGAACTGCTGTGTGCGTCTTCCTCGATCGATCGCCTCCCAGGAATTTGCTGGCGTCGCTGCGCGCTTGGTTGTCCGTGCCACGCCATGCCCTACGGATTTGTTTTCCCTGGAAGTGCGCCTTGACGACCAAGGTTTTATGGGACCCTGGGCCGGACTGAAAACCTCATGGAAGTAGCCAAAAACATGCTCGGGCAAACCAGAAAACAGGTATCCCGCGATTGAACTCTACCGATGGTCTCAAAAACCCTGATCAAACATCATTAAGATGGGTTTTAACTAAAGTGCTCCTCCACCTCCACCGGACCTCAGCTGCAAGCGCTTGATCGCAGTGGTCCCCGCCGGTCCCGCCCGGACCTCGACCACAAAGAATCTCCGAAGATATATCAGATAGAATGCCAGAAGATATGCCAGATATGTCAGAACATATGCCAGAATGAATGCCTGAAAAGATGCCAGATAGAATGTGAGAATAGATGCCAGATAGAATGCCAGAAAGAATGTCAGAATATATGCCAGAAAATATGTCAGAATACAAATGCCAGATAGAATGTCAGATAGAATGTCAAAGTATATGCCAGAAAGAATGTCAGATATTGTCAGATAGAATGTCAGAATATATAAATATGCCACATATACTTCCAGATGGTATATCAGAAACTATGTCAGAATAGTGGTTGCTGGTGGGGAGTACTCAAAGAAAGTAATTTTAGATAATTTGGTTTGTTGACATCCATATTTTAGATGTGTTTACATTTTTGCGGAGTCTTGACGTCATATGCCTAGATTAGATGCAGAGTATGGAAATCCTAGGGAGCTAGGCAGCACCCTTGCGTGCCTGACAAGCTGTTTGTAAAGGTGCGTCTTGCCATTTGTTTCAGCTTTCCAACTACGGCTAAGACTTATGTCAAGAAACCTGCTCATTTTAGCAAGAGTCTGAACAAATTCTTAACGGGGATTTCGAATAAGAAATATGGCCAGCTTTTGAGACACTGAAAACAAGAAATATTGCTGTTGATTATGTGACTTATGGAGATTTATGGTTAGTTCATAGTAGATGGGAAAAACTAGATATAGGATAATTTAGTCATAATGTAAAATTGATCGCTAAAAAAGAGTTATTTAGGATATTTCCCCAAACGAGACTCTGAATATTTTATTCTGGGATGCCCAGACTCTGAGTAGTTTATTCCGAGACCTAGCCGAGAGTCTAGTTTCTTGTTTTATACGGGTTTCTTAACACAAGTCCCGACCGTACGGGTGACACACATTCAAGTTTCTTGAGACCCAAATTGTTACTTCCATTCCTGGTGGTTGTGGTAGTGTATATGGTTGGTTGTTTCATAGTTTTGTTCATTTTCAACAGCATGTCGGATGTCCCCGATGATTTTCGTATGTTTGCGCTCAGTGGCTCAACCAGTGGCACCGCCAAATGAGTTGTCCCTTTCCATTCATAAAGACCCCCTGCGATGAACAAATCAACTTTGGTGATGTCGTTTGCCCAGGTGATGTCGACGTCTTGGGCTGCACCTTCCTTCACTTCGTAAGCTTTCGGTGCCTGGGCTGTTGCCATGGTGGTGGAAATGGATGGTATATCCCAGCATATTGAATCCCAATGCCATTGCTGATTGGTTGCCATGTGGTGGATTACACCATGTTTTTTGGTGAAGTTAAGGGAAGGGAAGGGAAGGGAGGAGGGAAGGACGGAAGGACGGAAGGACGGAAGGACGGAAGGACGGAAGGACGGAAGGACGGAAGGACGGAAGGAAGGAAGGAAGGAAGGAGGAGTTGCACCTTTGTTAAAATCTACAATCTAGAGACCCTCGCCTGGCAGGTGGGGGAAAAACCTATTGGTTGTTTTTATTTTACGGGGTGTTTAGCATTCAGGAGGAGAAAAACCTGCCCCTATTTTTGTTTCAGAACTTTAATAAGCAAATAAATTCGTCGATTTCAAATTCGATCAGATTCCTTTCTTAAGATCTAATTATATAATATTTTGCCAAAAAACGGATTTCGAAACTTTCCCCTAATAATTTAAGACCTTAATTGAAAAAAACAACTAGATTTGTCGATTTCAACATCGATCCACGTCCCTTTATTTTTACTTTTTAATATTGGCAAAATTGTCCTTTCGAAGTTTCCCCCAATATACCCTAATAGAATACATCCTAGTATCAAATTGAACACCGCCTTAATGAAAAAAATGAAACTTTTGATTTCAAAAGACAGACCCCAATAGAAAACACCCTGGGATTAACTAGTTTTTATTCTCGAGAGCGCCTGCGAAGGGTTCTTCGTAAAAAAGCAGCCGTTATACTAGATCTTCACACCTTCACACCTGCAGATCTAGATCTTCACACCTTCACACCTGCAGATCTAGATCTTCACACCTTCATACCTGCAGATCTAGATCTTCACACTCTCACATCTGCCGATCTACATCTTCACACCTTCACATCTGCTGATCTACATCTTCACACCTTCACACCTGCAGATCTAGATCTTCAGACCTTCACACCTGCAGATCTAGATCTTCACACCTTCACACCTGCAGATCTAGATCTTCACACCCTCACATCTGCAGATTTAGATCTTCACACCCTCACATCTGCAGATCTAGATCTTCACACCCTCACATCTGCAGATCTACATCTTCACACCCTCACACCTGCAGATCTAGATCTTCACACCCTCACACCTGCAGATCTAGATCTTCACATCCTCACACCTGCAGATCTAGATCTTCACATCCTCACACCTGCAGATCTAGATCTTCACACCCTCACATCTGCAGATCTACATCATCACACCCTCACACCTGCAGATCTAGATCTTCACACCTTCACATCTGCAGATCTCCTCTCGCTCTTCTTCTATTCTCTCTTAAGGCGGGGGCGGTGCCGCCGGAGCGCCCCGAAACGCAACCCTTTCGCACGAAATGGACGTTGGACGTCCAAAACCTAGGTAAAATTGCGATTTTGAAGCGTCGCCGGCAACCCTTTCGCACGAAATGGACGTTGGACGTTAAAAACTGAGGAAAAATTGCGACTTTGAGGTGTCCCGCGCAACCCTTACGCACGAAATGGACGTTGGACGTCAAAAACTGAGGAAAAATTGCGACTTTGAAGTGTCCCGCGCAACCCTTACGCACGAAATGGACGTTGGACGTCAAAAACTGAGGAAAAATTGCGACTTTGAGTTGTCAATCGCAACCCTTACGCACGAAATGGACGTTGGACGTCAAAAACTGAGGAAAAAATGCGACTTTGAGTTGTCAATCGCAACCCTTACGCACGAAATGGACGTTGGACGTCAAAAACTGAGGAAAAATTGCGACTTTGAGTTGTCAATCGCAACCCTTACGCACGAAATGGACGTTGGACGTTAAAAACTGAGGAAAAATTGCGACTTTACTTTGTCAATCGCAACCCTTACGCACGAAATGGACGTTGGACGTCAAAAACTGAGGAAAAATTGCGACTTTGAGTTGTCAATCGCAACCCGTACGCACGAAATGGACGTTGGACGTCAAAAAACTGAGGAAAAATTGCGACTTTGAGTTGTCAATCGCAACCTTTACGCACGAAATGGACGTTGGACGTCAAAAACTGAGGAAAAATTGCGATTTTACTTGGTCAATCGTAACGCTTTCGTCTGTGTAAAAGTGTCTGTGTGTAAAAGCCTCTGTGTGTAAAAGCCTCTGTGTGTAAAAGCCTCTGTGTGTAAAAGTGTCTGTGTGTAAAAGCGTCTGTGTGTAAAAGCGTCTGTGTGTAAAAGTGTCTGTGTGTAAAAGCGTCTGTGTGTAAAAGCTTCTGTGTGTAAAAGCCCCTGTGTGTAGAAAGCGTCTGTGTGTAAAAGCGTCTGTGTGTAAAAACGTCTGTGTGTAAAAGTGTCTGTGTGTAAAAGCGTCTGTGTGTAAAAGCGTCTGTGTGTAAAAGCGTCTGTGTGTAAAAGCGTCTGTGTGTAAAAGCTTCTGTGTGTAAAAGCCTCTGTGTGTAAACGGGTCTGTGTGTCAAAGCGTCTGTGTGTAAAAGCGTCTGTGTGTAAAAGCGTCCGTGTGTAAAAGCGTCTGTGTGTAAAAGCGTCTGTGTGTAAAAGCGTCTGTGTGTAAAAGCGTCTGTGTGTGAAAGCGTCTGTGTGTAAAAGCGTCTGTGTAAAAGCGTCTGTGTGTACAGTGTACAGGAGGTTCTGTGTGTAAAAGCCTCTGTGTGTGAAAGCGTCTGTGTGTAAAAAACTCTGTGTGTAAAAGCGTCTGTGTGTAAAAGCGTCTGTGTGGAAATGCTCTTGTGTGTAAAAGCTTCTCTGTGGAAAAGGGTCTGTGCGTAAAAGCGTCTGTGGGTAAAAGCGTCTGTGTGTAAAAGCGTCTGTGTGTAAAAGCGTTTGTGTGTAAAAGCGTCTGTGTGTAAGAGTGTCTGTGTGTAAAAGCGTCTGGGTGTAAAAGCTTCTGTGTGTACAAGCTTCTGTGTGTAAAAGCGCCTGTGTGTAAAGGAGTCTCTGTGTAAAGGCTTCTGTGTGTAAAAGCCTCTGTGTGTGAAAGTGTTTGTGTGTAAAAGCGTCTCTGTGTAAAAGTCTCTGTGCAAGCGTCTGTGTGTAAAAGCCTCTGTGTGTGTGTAAAAGAAAAGCGTGTGTGTGTGTGTGTGCGTGTGTGTGGAAAAGCTTCTGTGGGTAAAAGTGTCTGTGTGTAAAAGTCTCTGTGTAAAAGCTTCTGTGTGTAAGAGCGTCTGTGTGTAAAAGTGTCTGTGTGTAAAAGCTTCTGCGTGTAAAAGCGTCTGTGTGTAAAGGAGTCTGTGTGTAAAAGCTTCTGTGTAAGAGCGTCTGTGTGTGTAAAAGCTTCTGTGTGTAACAGCTTCTTTGTGTAAAAGCGTCTGTGTGTAAAGGAGTCTGTGTGTAAAAGTGTCTGTGTGTAAAAGCGTCTGTGTGTAAAAGCTTCTGTGTGTAAGAGCGTCTGTGTGTAAAAGTGTCTGTGTGTACAAGCTTCTGTGTGTAAAAGCCTCTGTGTGTAAAGGAGTCTGTGTTTAAAAGCTTCTGTGTAAGAGCGTCTTTGTGTAAAAGCTTCTGTGTGTAACAGCTTCTTTGTGTAAAAGCCTCTGTGTGTAAAGGAGTCTGTGTGTAAAAGTGTCTGTGTGTAAAAGCGTCTGTGTGTAAAAGCGTTTGTGTAAAA